CTTTCACCCCACTTTGGCGATGAGGGTGTGTCAGAATGTTATCTTATGCTCTAGCCTGTAGTGGGGTGCTCTATAGCGAGTACAACCCTTCTAGGGTTTGCTATTTGTATCCTCATTCTTGCTACTGCAATCCTATTCTTTCTTCTAAACTTTCACAGGTTCCAGGCTTATGAGAAGTTGAATCAGCCTCGGATAAATCCTTCTAATCCTTCTTAATTGAAAACTGATATTAAAGCTGCATCTTCGAGCGCAGGACCTAGGGATGACATATTTGACGTACCCTACGATCCTATAAGCGATACCATCTACGGCTAGTCGAAGCAACATCAACCACTAGTACTCGACGTGATCTGCAACAGGCGTCGCCTCCAAGCCCTGGTGGACAGTGGTGCGTCCCACTCGTTGTGCGACCGCAGGACCATGAAGAAAATTAGAGAATCCTCAGAAGAGACCCAGTTTACAACAACGATGGTGGACGGGACGAAGCTTCCCATCCACGGCGAGTCAACAATGCAGCTGCAGATAGGGGCGTTGAGGTGGAAGCCGACGTTGCCGATCATGAACATCAAGGGATTAGATTTCATCTTGGGACGTGATTTTCTGAAGCGGTTCAACCCCGAGATCGACCCGGTCAACCGGAAAACGTGCATCTACAATAACGGGAAACGAGTGGAGCTGTGAAGCTGGACAGATAAAGGGAATGTTCCGGAGAACGTGAAGGAGTTGCAGCAGTTCCTAGGCTTTGCCAACTAGTACAACAGGTTCGTGCCACAGTACGCTAAGATAGCGGCACCACTGACCGACCTACTGAAAAAGGATACGCCTTACAAATGGGATACTCCTCATCAGCAAGCCATGGAACAGTTACAGACAACACTGACTTCAGCAGCAGTACTCATCCTACTAGACCCAGACAAGGACTACGTAGTTGAAGAAGACGCTAGTGACCAGGCAGTCGGAGCAGTACTGATGCAAGATCACGGGAACGGGTTACAGCCTATCGCCTACCTCAGTAAAAAACTACACGGAGCAGAACTGAACCACCCCATCCATGACAAGGAAGCCTTAGCCATAGTCGTAGCCTTTAAGGCATGGAGGTGTTACCTAGAGGGAGCCAAGACCACAGTCTATAGTGACCACTGCAGTCTCAAATACCTGAAGTCGCAGCCGACGCTCTCACGGCGACAGGTGCGGTGGGTGGACTTCGTGGAAACTCACTTCCACTACGACATCATCTACAAGCCCGGGCTACACAACAAGGCAGACGCATTAAGCCGCCTTGGTCATATAGCAGACATCCAGCTCGACGAGATGAACCCTCTACTCAAGGGTCTAGTCAAACATGAGTATTCCGCGGACGCAGAAATCGCTACAGCACAGACAAAGAAGCTGTTACAGTGGGAGAAAGACTTAGCGGTAAAGAAGGGTTCATGAAAGATTTGGGTACCGAATTACGCCCCGCTACGGCAGATCCTATTGGAGGAGTTTCACGACGTACCTTACGCTGGACATCTCGGGAGCAACAAGACGTTAGCAAGAATAGCGAAGTATAACTACTGGCCCGGGATGGCAGCAGACGTGCAGCAGTTTGTTACCTCATGCGACACATGCCAGCGGATGAAGGGCAGCAAGCAGAAAAATGCAGGGTTACTTCAACCTCTGCCCGTACCGGAGCAGCCATGGCAGGTCGTTAGCCTCGACTTCATCATAGGACTTCCTTCGACCTCACGGGGGCACGATTCCATCCTCGTAGTGATCGATAAGTTCTCCAAAATGGGTCACTTCATACCGACCAACGCCACAGCTACAGCTGAAGCAATTGCTCGCCTCTTCTTCGACTGCATCATCACCATCCACGGCATCCCCGCTACACTCATCTCAGATAGAGACCCCATATTCACGAGTTAGTTCTAGAAGGAGCTCATGGACTGACAGAGCAGTTCCTGCGCACAGATTGCAAAGACGACGTTAGCCACTGGAACACACAGTTACCAACCCTAGAGTTCGCTTACAACAACGCGTCACATGCGGCCACAGGGAAATCTCCTTTCTTCCTATGTTACGGACGGGAACCACTCACACCACAGCAGCCAACCACACCGGCACACGACTTCGTCACCACTATGCAACAGCTATGGGGGAAGACTCAGCGACGTCTCACCACGATGCAGAACTCCTAGAAGCAGTATGCCGATCGACAACGACGTGATCAATCAGTAGCATTCGGAGATCAGGTGCTTCTTGACACGCGCAACTTGAACATGTCTCACCTACCATCCAAGCTCCGGCCTCGCTTCTGTGGTCCTTTTTTCGTTGAAGCACAAATGACACTAGTATCATTCCGCTTGCGCTTACCTACTACATGGAAGCTTCACAATGCTTTCCATGTTCAGCTACTGAAGCCCTACAAGGACCCCAACCAACAGTTCCATGGACGTCAGTTACCGCCACCACAACCTGTTTTCGTACAGGATGAACCAGAGTATGAAGCGGAGCGTGTTCTCACTCATCGGCGCCGCGACAGCAAGACCCTCGAGTTCCTCATATGCTGGAAGAGATATGACCCCACTGAGGAGAGTTGGGTTGCAGAAGCTGATATGGGCAATGCATGCCGTGCTCTCAAGGACTATCTTGTCAAGCAGGGTGTATCTCACGCCACCCATCTTTGAGGGGGGGACGTGTGAGCGTACGACGGCTTATGCTGGCTTTGCTAGCTTGCCTAGACTTTATTATGCTATATCTAGCTTGGGTTTATTTTATCATGCATGATATGCTTGATTTCCTAGGTTATATGCATTCCTATATTTTATTTTAGTTATAGCACGGAACCAGGTTACGTGTACCGAACTCAAGCCTTTTCGGTTGCCACCGAATTGCTTTCTACCGAGTTTGGGAAGGTTCTGTTCGGGACGCTTCGCGATCCTCAGAACATTCGCGTAACACCAGGGTAACTGGCCTTGTGTCGAGACTATATATAGCCTCGCGTTGTACCGAGGTGAATCATTCAATTCAAACTCTCTTTTCTGAGCTCGATCCTAGATCCTCACAACGGATACGAGCAGCAGACCCAATAATAATTAAAAAAAAAAACAAAACATCATCGCTAAACGCAACGCCGATCGCCACCGCCGACCCGTCACCTACCAGCCCGACGACTTAGTTTTACTCGACACCTAGAACCTCGGCTTGCCCATTACCCCAAAACTCCGCCCCCGATATTGCGGGCCATTTCGCATCAGTTACATGATCATACCCATCACCGCCCACCTCCTCCTCCCTGCTGACTGGTACGGCAGCCTGTCCTTCCACGTCAGCCCGCTTCACCCTTACGTGGCATCCACCAGCCAACTACCTCGCAACCACCCAGCAAGCATGACACGACCACTGACTAAGCCAATCATCACGCCCAAGAAGATTATGAGCCACCGATTTCGTGACCCACGGTGAGCTCGAAGGATCAAATTTCTGATCCGCTGGAAAGACCGAACGCCCACTGAAGACAACTGGGTTTCCCTAAACGGAATTGAGAACCACCCCGTCCTCACCGAGTACCTGCTGTGAAAAGAAAGAACGAGAATGAATTGACTATGAACGAAGTGAGTACAAATAGGAAACCCTAATTGGGTTGTACCCCCTATGGGATACCCCACTATAGCCTACACAAATAAGTAAGCTATAATGTTCTGACACCTGCGCAGCCGGAATTTCCAGGATGTAGACACGCTTTCGTAAAGAGGGCCTCCTTAGGGGGAGGGGTAGTGTAAGGAAAATTAATTTTCCTTACTTCGCGTCCATGCTCAACGCATGCACCACTGTTCCCGCCAACAGCACCCAAGAGTAATCCGTTATCACTCGCGACACTCGCCTCGACACTGTTTCCGCCACTGTTCACGAGACGACCCAACCTCACAGTTCGGTTGGTAACCCGCGCTCCAGACCTCCACCTCTAAATTTCCCAACCTCGGCGCCAGGCCCGTCGCGCACCCCATTCTCACACATTACCGCTACCACTGTAGTTTCGCTATATATTCTTCGCTCATGGTACTCTTGCTTCGATAGTGCAATTCTCGCTCGTTCACTCAGTTGCACTCGTAACAAAACTACACCACATACACATTGAAGAATCAATATGTAAGTCCCGCATCCTCTCTTGCATGCTATATCATCCCTTGTTTGTAGTCGTCAATATCATTCAAATCTTAAAGCCCAAGACCTGAATTACAAAAAAAGGAAGGCAAACTGTGCACAGTTTGCCTACCGGACCCACAGTTGACCTCCCGAGCCAGGCTGGCTACCAGAAAACATTGCGCCAAGAAACACAGAGTCGTAGAGCAGAACAGGTTTGGTTGGTGAGAGTCCCAACCACACCCTCCTGAAGGAACAAGGGCTCAAAATGTGCACAGTTTGCCTTCTTCGGTAACTCAGGTCGTGTGATTTCCATAGTACGCGAAGCGATTAGAGTATGCGAAGAGATAGAATAAAACGACACTACAGTATAGGCCATGAGCATTTTCACTTTTATTCCTAGCTCTTTCCCAAACATCGCATTTGGACCTATCGCCTTCCGCGTCCCCCACGTTTCTCCCCACCGTCTCTCACACACCTCCCCACGCACACGCCCACTCTTCCCACCGTCGCCCAAGCTTTCCCCTACCGTCGCTCACGCTTCCCTTTATCGCCGCTCACGCTTCCTCAGGCCTTCCCCCACACCGTCGCTCATGCCTTTCCCCACCTTCCCTCACGTTTCCCCTCTCATCGCCCACGCTTCCTCCCACCGTCGCCCACGCTTCGGAGCACCGTCACCCACGCTTTCCCCACCGTCGCCCACGCTTCCCCCCACCGTCGCCCACACTTCCCTCCACTATCGCCCACGCTTCCCCCCACCGTCGCCCCCGCTTCCCCCCACCATCGCCCACGCTTCCCCCCACCGTCACCCACGCTTCCCCCCACCGTCGCCCACGCTTCCTCCCACCGTCGCCCACGCTTCCCCCCACTGTCGCTCACGCTTCCCCCCACCGTCGCCCACGCTTCTCCCCACCGTCGCCCACCGCCACCGTCGCCCACCGCCACTGTCGCCCACGCTTGCCCTCCCATCGTCCTCGCTTAGCCTTCCCGTCGACCTCCCTTCTCTCCTCCTCTCTCCACGTCGTCATCACTCCCCTGCCCATCACGTTCCCCCTATTCACCATTGCTTCTCTACCCATGCCGCCCACCCTCTCATCCCTTCCCATCGCGTGGGGTGTGGGAGGGTGCGTGGTCAGTAGCACCCTTTCGTCGCATACACGTTCATTCATTACCCCTTCCCTCATCTCCCCATTCCTCATCTCCCCATTCCTCATCTCCCCTTCCCTCATCTCCCCATCCCTCACCTCCTCATCCCTCACCTCCCCATCCCTCTCCTCCCCAGCCCTCTCCTCCCCATCCCACACCTCCCCATCCCCCATCTCCTCATCCCTCATCTCCCCATCCCTCATCTCCCCAATCCGCCTCACCCCATTGCGCCCCGCCCCACCCCATTCCGCCCCACCCCTTTCTGCCCCACTCCATTCCGCCCCACCCTTTCTGGCCCACCCCATTCCGCCCCACCCCAGCCTCCTCCCCAGCCTCCTCCCTAACCTCCTCCCCACCCTCCTCCCCACCCTCCTCCCCACCCTCCTCCCCACCATCCTCCCCACCCTCATCCCCACCCTCCTCACACTCCTCCCCACCCTCCTCCCCACCCTCCTCCCCACCCTCCTCCCCAGCCTCTCTTCCTCCCCTCCCTTCTGCTTCTCCCCCAAGCGTCCTCCCTACCTCCCTTCCTCCCATCATCACTTCCTCCCTTCCTTCATTCCTGCATTCCTCACTTCCTCCCTTCCTCTGTTCCTCCCTTCCTCATTTGCCAGTTGTCATTCCCTTATACTTCAGCCACGTCACATCTGACTTCTTGATTTGTGTTTGGACAGGTCTGCTCTGCATCTGGTTGTGCATGTGCTAGCTGTCTGATACTAACACACGTATAGCCATGCCATATATTGGATTCTTTTTTTATAATACAGGATTATGAGCCTCAGAGCAATCATACACATGACCAATACCAAGGAGTTCAACAGTTAATATATTACCGTATCTGTAAAGTAAGGGGAATCACCAGACTCGAGAAGGGAACAAAGCTAGGGGGTGTATGTGTAATGTTGTTTTCCGGTTTTGTCTGCTACACTGCAAGCAATAAACCAGGCCGTGGTAAAGCCACATCTGGTGCTGAGCACCTGTAACTGCATTGGGGGGTATGGGGGTGAGTGAAGGGGGAAAGACAGTAAACGAAATGAGCAGAGGGGAAGAGAAGAAGCAGCGGGGGACAGATTGAACAGAGGGGAAGAGAGGAAGCAGGGGGGAACAGAGTGAGCAGAAGTAAAGAGAGTGAGCAAGGGGGAAGAGAGTGAGCAGAGAAGAAGGGGAGGGAGCAAGGGTGAAACAGAGGGAGCAGGGGTGAGCAGGGAAGGCGATAGGGGGAAGCAGGGAAGGAGATAGGGGGAAGCAGGGAAGGGGATGGGGGGGAGCAGGGAAGGGGATGGGGGTGAGCAGGGAAGCGGATGGGGGGATGCTGGGAGGGGGACGGGGGAAGGAGGGAAGGGGACGGGGGGAAGCAGGGAAGGGGAAGGGGGAAAGCAAGGAAGGGGATGGGGGGGAGCAGGGAAGGGGTTGGGGGGAAGCAGGGAAGGGGATGGGGGGAGCAAGTCGGAGGATGGGGGGAAGCAGCTCAGGGGATACGAGGAAACAGGGAAGAAGGGAAGGGTGTATGTGCGGGCTGGAAAGGGGGCGTGACAAGTGTGCGAGATGGGAAGGGAGAAGGGAGGGATGGCGAGGGCAACGAGGAGTGGAAGGGAGGGCGACGGGAAAAACGAGGGCGACGGGGGGAGAGAGAGACGGGGATTGCAAGGGGACGAGCGCGAGACAAAGGGGGGCAACGGGCGGAAGGGAGGGAAAGAGAGCGTGAAGGGGGAAAGAGAATGAGAAGGGGGGAAAGAGAGTGAGCAAGGGGAAAGAGAGTGAGCAGGGGGGGAAGAGAGTGAGCAAGGGGAAAGAGAGTGAGTAGGGGGAAGAGAGTGAGCAGGGGGAAAGAGATTGAGCAGGAGAGAGTGAAAGGCAATGGGAGGGGAAGTGAAGGTGACGGGTGGGGAAGCGAGTGTGACGGGAGGGGGAAGTGAAGGCGACGGGAGGGGTAAGTGAAGGCGACGGGAGGGGGAAATGAAGGCGACGGGAGGGGGAAATCAAGGCGACGGGAGGGGGAATTGAAGGCGACGGGAGGGGGAAGTGAAGGCGACGGGAGGGGGAAGTGAAGGCGACGGGAGGGGGAAATGAAGGCAACGGAAGAGGGGGGGGAGTGAAGGCGATAGGGGAGAAGTGACGGCGATGGGCGGAGCGAAGGCGATGGGCACGCGACGAGCTGCGGAAGCGATGGCGACGACGCGGGCGCCAGAGAGCGGAAGCGTGGGAAAGGAAAGCGAGGGCTGTCAGAGGTCCACCGGTGATCCCAAATGGATCTTAGGGAAGGGTTACAGGCACGTTTTCCTGGGGGGTTATGGGTGCACTTACCCGCCACTGAACAAGCCATTTTATCCCATTGGTTAGTGGCTGGGATTCTGACATGTTATCAGAGCGAAGGTCTCGGGTTCGAATCCTGGTGTGTGCACCTCGGGCATCCCAGTGCGGGGGGGTGTCAGAGGTCCACTAATGATCCCCGATTGATCCTAGGAAAGGGTTACAGGCACGTTGGCCTGGGGGGTTATGGGCGCACTTGCCCGCTACACAAAAAAGCCCTTTTATCCCAGTGGTTAGTGGCTGGGATTCTGACATGGTATCAGAGCAAAGGTCTCGGGTTCGAATCCTGGTGTGTGCACTTCGGGCATCCCAGTGCGGGGGGGTGTCAGAGGTCCACCGGTGATCCCCGATTGATCTTAGGGAAGGGTTACAGGCACGTTTAGCTCGGGGGTTATGGGCGCACTTACCCGCTACTAAACAAGCCCTTTTATCCCAGTGGTTAGTGGCTGGGATTCTGACATGTTATCAGAGCGAAGGTCTCGGGTTCGAATCCTGGTGTGTGCACCTCGGGCATCCCAGTGCGGGGGGGTGTCAGAGGTCCGCTGGTGATCCCCGATTGATCCTAGTAAAGGGTTACAGGCACGTTGGCCTGGGGGGTTATGGGCGCACTTACCCGCTACACAAACAAGCCCTTTTATCCCAGTGGTTAGTGGCTGGGATTCTGACAAGGGCGAGGGGAGGGTCACGTTTGGGCGAACGGTTGCGATTCGATTTTCGCCACGAGTTTACGCTACGGAGTAGTTGCACAATAACCTGCATTTGGACACAATAATCTTCACCCAGCGCAAACTAGCTTTGTGCGTCATCATTGCAAATCCGCGCCACCCAAATCATATGGCGCATCTACTCCCTTTTGAGTGAACGCCGACGCCCTGCCCTGTCTACAGGTATGGAGTATGCCTAATACTCTGCGTGTTATCCCAAACTGTGCACAGTTTGATAAGCTCGCGCTTTTCTGGTTGTGGGAAGGGTACCAACCATCATGGGAAGCGAGAAACTTTTGTTGCAAATTGGTTTCGTGAGTGAAAATCTCTCACAACCCAACCGAACCTCTCCGTGCCTGCCTCCCGAACCTAGTTTTTAGCGTTGAATTCCGTTGAGTAATTCAGGTCTTGGACTTTAAACAGTTTTTTTTTTTTTTTTTTTTTTTCGCAACTTCATTCTTCGCCAAAGCCTTCCCCGTGTCTCATCCTTGAGATAGTTGACCTCGCTGTGCCTTATACAATTAAAGCTGCGGCCTACATACTTCGAGCGGGAGGGCTGGGATTATCACTTGAAAACAGGGTGACTAGTTTTTGGACTCGGCCCCCTTTTCTGCAAAGCTAATGGTTGAGAGGGGTGGAGAGAGGGGGCTGGGGTTCGGCGAACTAGCGACACCTCGCGCGTGGGAAAGTTACCCTCGCGCGAAGGCAGCCCACACGTGCCACCTGCCCGCGAGGTCCTAGTAACCCATCGCGGCCTGCCCGGACGGGCAGGCGAGGGCCGGGCAAAAACTCGGGGCCCCTCGGGATGCTCGACAATTTTGCGACCCGTTGCGGTGACGCCACGTGTTCGCTCGTGGTTTCGCATCGGGCGCATGCGATATTTTGTTGCGAGCGAAAAAAAAAAAAAGCCTGCAATGCGGAGAACGAGGTTCGTTACCCGCTACGAAGTCGACACGTGTCGTGCAAATGGACGCTCCTCGCGCATGCGAAATTGCGTCCCCTCGCCAACCTGGGCCAATGGACGCGAGGTCGACGCCCTGCCGAAGCGGAGTCGGACCACCTGTTCCACTTGCGCATGCGCCCTCAGAGCCCTCCCGAGCGAGGCCCCACACCCTGGGGCGACGCTGAACGGGGATGCCGTGGGCCACCGTCTCCTTTTCTTTGTGGATGGTGGCCTCGCTCCCCATTTTTCGCATCTCGTTTCGCTCCTCCTTTTCTCCTTTTTTTCTCCTTTCGTTGCTCTGTGCGGCTATCGTGATATCGCTTCCCCTTAGTCGATATGGACCCTAGCCCCGACGCCAATAACTCGGCGCCGACTTCGGCTGACTTCCCTCTTCGTCACCCAATGGTGTGAAAAGTTAGAAGAAAGAAGAGAGAAGGAGGTGGTTCACTAGCAGGAATGGAGATACAAATAGCAAACCCTAGAAGGGTTGTACTCGCTATAGAGCACCCCACTACATGCTAGAGAATAACATTCTGACACACCCCCATAGCCAAAGTGGGGTGTAATCAGCACAGTGAGAAAGCAGGTATAGAGCAGGAGTTTACATAGATAAGCAAAGCTAGAGCTAATCACAGCGGACAAGTGAGGAGGAGGAAGAGCTGTGGGGAGAGAAGATGGGAGGCGACTGCTGACGCTGCAGACACACAGACAAGCTGCTGGCTCAGTGGCTACCGGAACAGCGCTCCGGACTACTGGAGTAACTGGCCCCGCGGCTAATAGTAGCGGCAGACGAGCAACGGACCCACGGGAGACTGGCGACTACCGGAGATTGTAGCCTCCGGACTGCTGCTGCTGCTGACGACAAGACTGCTGCCTCCACTCAACCTCCCCCAACTGCCCTACACTCTCGAGACAAGCCCACTGCTCAAACCCTAGCTCCACCCCCACGCACCCCCCTTAAACCCTAAACCCCAGTCTCCCACTCATCCACCCCCCTCAGCGACAACTGCAGCAGTGGGAGACGAAGGAGGAGGAGGAGAAAAGGGAGGAATGCACAACTGCCACCCCCATACTCGCCACCCCCTACTCGCCACCCCCATAACCTGAGTGTGCGGTAAGCGAGCTCACGTGTGCGGGAAGCGTGCACAAGTGTGCGGGAAGCGAACTCGAGTGTGCGGTAAGCAAACGCAGGTGTGCGGGGAGGGGGGGCCGCAGGGCGACACGCGGGTCGACGAGGATGGGCGCACGGGTCGCCGGGGGCGGCGCGCGGGTTGACGGGGCCGCCGCGAAGGGCGACGGGGAGCCGCGCGCGGGCCGACGGGGCCGCCGCGAAGGGCGACATGGAGCCGCGCGCAGGTCAACGGGGACGGGCGCGCGGGTCGACGGAACGCGAAACCGCCGCGTGCGCCCAGGGTGCGCGGTGGGCAGGAAACCGCCACGCATTCCGAGCGCATGGCGGGCAGAAAACCGCCGCGCGAAGCAGGAAACCGCCGCGCGCCTCGGGGCGCACGGCGCGCAGAAAACCGCCGCGCGCCTCGGGGCGCACGGCGGGCCGAAAACCGCCGCGCGCCTCGGGGCGCACGGCGGGAATAAAAAGTGCCGCACGCCACGGGGCGTGCAGCTCAGAGTGTAATGGTAGGAGTTGCAGCGGAAGCTAGGAGGTGGTAAGCCCACCCACAGGATCGATCCAAGGGGATCGACCTGCTCTGATACCATGTGAAAAGTTAAAAGAAAGAAGAGAGAAGGAGGTGGTTCACTAGCAGGTATGGAGATACAAATAGCAAACCCTAGAAGGGTTGTACTCGCTATAGAGCACCCCACTACAGGCTAGAGAATAACATTTTGACAAATGGGTCGTGGTCTCAGCTTCACTTTAGAGTGGGAAGACTTTTTAGTTCTTCGCAACCACAAGATAGAGTTCAACGACGGATGTTTCGGTTTCGGCATCAGGTAGGACTCGAGTAGTCGGCGCCGACTAAACAGGGTTAGTGTTGATGTCAGCGCAGTGGCCTTCTTATTTACGTCGACGTGCACGGTATTAGGCATAGACCCCCTCCAGGAACGTCGGCCACCTTAGGAAGCGTCGACCACACGCAGTCGCCCTGTGTACTTTTCGGCGTTTGCTCAACCGCCCTTGTATGAACCTCCTTGCCCAATCATGCCGTCAGATTCGCGTTGTCCCAACTTGGGATTGACAACCAGCGTTTGTGGGTAATCGGAGTCGCTTCGATCGGCCATGAAGGAGGCCGGCCATTCATGCTTTGCTGCAGTTTTCGACGCCGACATCGCCGCTATCCCGTTAAGAACGATGTGAGTTGTTTCACCGTTGATCAGTTGTCGTTTTTTGTTGTCGCGACATCGCGTGGTGTTGTGATCGACGCCGTCGTGAATTGCATGTGCAGCCTCGGTCCGCTTCCAGGAACGCACTGCAGCGTCATTGCCTCCTATACCCTGGAGATCTGTTGAAGGCTGAGGGACAGGTGTGCAGGACCTCAATCCGGCACATCGACCCGCAGACCGGTAAAGGGTATCACCGCGACGAGGCCGCCCGCGTGCTAAAGTAAGTGCTGAATTGTCGTCGATGACCCGCTTGTTAGTCCGCGACACAGGGTATCACACGCTGACCGCCTCCCTCCACCACGGTGCTTCAAGTTCTTCCGCACGGCAGTCCTGGCCGAGCTGGGGCGTCCCGGTAGGATGTGGGACTGGGCGCCGCCATCACAAGCAGTGGTGGAGGTCAGGCTGGCCGACTGCGACCACCCTATCCGAGATGTGAGTTGCACCTTTAAGTAGTAAGGGGGGTGCCCGTTTCTGAATGCTCTGCTCATCATGTTCCGTGCTTGTATGCAGAAAGTGCCGGGCACAGTGTCGGACGGGCATGTCGGTGCCGGCGTGCTTTCCGCGACGTCGTTCGGGTGGGTAGCGAAACCGATCGACCATTTGACAGGCGAGAAGGGTCGTAGTGGGGTGAGCATTGAGAGCGTCGGGATGAAGGGGCTGAAGGCTTTGCGCGACAGCATGGTTGAGTACGTCGGCAAGGTCATTGCCGTAAAACGCACCGCAGCGCCGACTTCTCAAGCCGCCGGACCCGCCGACAGTGCCATTAATGACAACGGCGCGGAAGGACAGAAGGCGCCCCAAGGTGCAGTTGCCGCCCAGCATCAGGGGAACGCGAGGGTGCATGGGGAAGGTGGAAATGGTGGAGGAGGCGACGCAGAGGCAGGTGCAGGAAGGTTGGAAACGGAGAAGTCGTCGTCGTCGTCTGAGTCGGAGTCGGAGTTGGAGGAGGAAGACGAGGCGGTGAAGCGTAAGGACGAGGAGGAGGAGGAGGAGGAGGAGGAGGAGGAGGAGGAGGAGGAGGAGGAGGAGGAGGAGGAGGAGGATGAGGAGGAGGAGGAGGAGGAGGAGGAGGAGGAGGAGGAGGAGGAGGAGGAGGAGGAGAATAAGGACGAGAATGGTGAGAAGTGGGAGGGAGGGAAGGATGAGGAGGGGGGGGATGAAGAGGTGGAGCTCGTGGTGGAGTATGTAGAGGGTACGGTTGAGGCGGTGGGGTCGGCAGATCAGGGGAATGAGGAAGAGAAGGATGACGGCGCGGGAAATGCTACGAGGTCGGCAGATGTGGGGAAGGAGAAGGGCGAGGTCGGCGTGGAGGCAACGACGGGAAATGGCCAGGATGAGGCGGCCTGCGAGGGAGGTAGGAAGGTGTCGGTCGACGCCGGCGAAGGGGCGAACAACACGGGCGTGCAGGAGACAAGGGAAGCGCCTGGTCGGCAGGGCCCTGAACTGGACGACTTTGAGAAGCTGCGACGGGAGAACTGGTTGTTGCAGGCGGAGAACGCTCGGCTGGCGACGTTGCTCGATGCGGAGCGGGCTCGGCTGGATAGGTTTTTTGTTGGGGTCAGTGGACTCGTCGACCACGTTAAAGGGTTGGCCGAGCAGGTCAACGACACCGAGAAGTATGCCGCGGAACACCTGCGAAACGCGACGGAGGCCATGTTGAAGACCATCACGGGCAACATCACCGGCAGCTTTGACGAAGCGTGGAAGTCGATGAAGACATTCGCGGAATAGGCGACAAAGTGGTTGGAGGACTTCGACAATCCGGAGGGTCGTGTCGCATATGCACGGGCGTTAGCGGTCTCCGCCTTGGCCGAACACGTAGATTCGGTGGTGGGCGATGCAAAGAAGGGGTTGGAAGAGTACGTCTCGAACCACCTTGCCTCCGCGCAGGTCAACATCGCCATCGCTGTGACCGCCAGGCTCGCCGTGCCGCCGCCGCCACCGCCTCATCCCACGCCGCCCGCCATCCCGGAAGAGCTTTTGAAGTCGTTCAAGGCCGACATCATGAAGGCAGTGAGGGAGGCCACCCAGCAGTCTTTCGTTGCTTCCGGGATGAAGATGATGACAGAGATGATTGGCACTGTGGCGCCAGGTCGACGTGGGTCGTCGCCTTCGACCAATGACGCCGATAACGCGCAAAGGAAAATGGCCGAGAAGCAGGGCCATAAGAGGACATGCGACGGAGACGACAAGGAGAGCTCGAAGCGGAGCAAGGGAGCGGATGGTAGCCGCGGGTCGAAGCCTGCGCAACAGAGCGTGGTCGACCAGCTGAAGACGAAGGCTGGGTGGAAGGTGGTAAGGACGTCGCACAGCAAGGGAGGCGGATGCGGGGGAGCAGAGGGTGGCCCTGCCGACGGGGTTGCCGCTAACGTAGCTGCTCCGACTGGCCCACCTTTGGTTGCCGAGCAGACCCATTCTCAGGCGAGCGGTGGGAAAGGCGTGACCGACAAGGAGGTGCCAACTGCTCAGGCGGCGAATGATGGCGACTCCGGAACCACCAAGGGACCGTCCGTCGCGGCGGCGGCCAAGCCTGCTTCTGCTACGATTGCCGGCACCACCAAGTCGAGTCCCCGTAACCCCCTTGCGGCTACTAGCGTGCCTCCCGGCCAGTCAGGTGCGAACAAAGATGGGGAGGCTGCTCCAGCTCCAGCAGCCCCGGCTGCCGCCAAGGGCGTCGCGAAGGCTGCTTCGGCTAAGGGTGATGTCGTGGCATCAGCTAAGGCCCCCCCCGGTGGTACCGCGCTCACGGAGATGCTCCGCCGCATGGAGGCACATAGCAGGGATGTGCAGCAGCATCCCGTGGTCGACGCCGGCCTTCCTGGAACAACACGTCGCTCCGTCACTACGCAGTTTGCCAGCAAGTCGTCCGGTGCCCCACCTGCCGCACCTGCGGTGGCCGCCCCACCGCCTGCGGACCCCAAGTCCGCTTTTCTTCGCGCCCATTTAGGCGCACGCAAAGCGGCTGCTCCGTCAGTGACCCAGCCGGAACTCGGCAAAAGCACGACGCCGACGTCGGTAAATGCGACCGCACCCACACCAGGTGCATCTGTGGTTGATGTGGCGACAGAGAAGGAAGTGAGTGCAGCGCTCGCCACCGGCGGCCGCGCAGACAAGCATGCCGACCTCGCTGTCGTCATGGCCCATTTTGAGGCAGCAAAGCACCCCGAGCACGCCCCTGTTATGGCCATCATGGACACGGCGCATGTGGTGCCGTCGGCGACCCACGGAGGGGGTTCGGCGGAGCAGACAGCCGCAACGGCTGCTGTCACCGAGAGAAATGCTGGACGGAAGGAAAAGGACGACAACGGGAAACGGAAGGCGGTCTCTCAGAGGAGCACGCGGGCGATGTCTGCAGGGAAGTTGATGTCGGAAGAGAAAGGGAAGAAGGCGGAAGGGGAGCAGGACAAGACGGGCGGCACGGGTAAGCCGGCGAAGAAGAAGGAGAAGGCGGAGGAGGAGGACGAGGAGGGCGGCGAGGGAGATAAAGAGCATGGACGCAAGGGTCATGGCATCCGCCGAGAAAAGGCTGGCGACGGGCAAGGGTGGGTGGGCGAGATTAAGGTAAACGGACAGAATCGGTACATCGGCAAGTCGAGGGAGAAGATGGAGCTGGCCTACGTGTCAGAACATTATAGCTTATGCATTTGTGTAGGCTGTAGTGGGGTAGCCCATAAGGGGTACAACCCAATTGTGGTTAGTACTTGTACCCAACTCTTTTATAATTCATTCTTCTCGTTTCAGTTTTCTCATGGTATCAGAGCAGGTTCCCTCGTGGGAACTGTTCCTAGGGCCTACCAAGTCGAATTATTTTTTTCTGCCCGGAGCGCGCTCAACCCTAGCCCGAGTCGCGCTCCCCTTCCTCCACCCAGTCGAGCCGCCCTAGCGGCCCCGGTGCCTTCCTCGCAGCCCTCACGCTGCCTTGCGGACTCGTCACCCGCCCTACGGCCCGCGCACCGCCCTTCCCAGCCCGCGCGCCGCCCTTCCTAGCCCGCGCGCTGCCCTTTCTGGCCCGCGCGCCGCCAACCCTGCCCCGATCCGCCGCCCTGCGGCCTCGACGCCTACCCTGCGGTCCCGCCGCCCTTACGTGCGGCCCCGCTAACTACCTGCGGCCCCGCCCTTACCTACGGCCCCGCCACCTACCGGCGGCCCCGCCCTTACCTGCGGCCCCGCCGCCCTCACCTGCGACCCAATCGCCCTTACCTGCGGCCCCGTCGCCTGCCTGCGGCCCCGCCTACACCTGCGGCCCCGCCACCTACTGGCGGCCCCGCCCTTCCCTGCGGCCCCGCCGCCCTCAACTGCGGCCCCATCGCCCTTCCCCGCAGCCCCGTCGCCCTTACCTGCGGCCCTGCCGCCCTTTACCTGCGGCCCCACCGCCCTCACTTGCGGCCCCGCCGCCCTTACCTGCGGCCCCGTCGCCCTCAACTGCGGCCACGATGCCCGTCCCTGCGGCCCCGTCGACTGCTGCAGTGCCGCCCGCCACCCGAGCTGCCCGAGCCGCCTCACCCAGCCGAGCAGCCGACCACCGCGCCGCCCTGCAGCAGCACCGCCGAGCTGCCCGGGCAGCCGAGCAGCCGAGCCGCCCACTAGCCGAGCCGCCGTGCAGCCGAGCCGCCGAGCAGCCGAGCCGCCCTGCAGCCGAGCCGCCCCGCCGCCCAGCAGCCAAGCCGCCGTGCAGCCAAGCCGCCGAGCCGCCCTACAGCCGAGCCGCCCGCACCGCCGAGCCGCCCGATCAGCCCCGTCCGGTGAGCACAGCGCCTCTGTCACTGCACTGCCCTTACCCTACTGTTTGCGCTACTAGTCTACTGTTGTCATGGCTACCCCTGGTGTCCTCGCTTTTGACGCTGAGGGTCGGGCCATTGACTTTGACGTCTGGATAGATGACCTGCAGTTTTTCCTACAGTGCGATAGAGCAGACAGTCTCTCCCTCTTTGACCTCACCTCTGGTGCCTCTCCTGCTCCTGCTGCTGATGCTGACGCCACTCTTCGCTCACAGTGGGCCACGCGCGATGCTGCTGCACGTCTTGCTGTGCGTCGCCACCTCCCTACCTCTGAGCGTGCGCACTTTAGTCATTACAAGAGTGCTCAGACCTTGTACGACGTTGTAGCTGCACGCTACTCCTCCCCTGCCACTGCTGCACTGAGCCGTCTCATGCTACCATACCTCTTCCCTGACCTTGCTGCCTTTCCCACAGTTGCTGACCTCATTACGCACCTCCGCACTAGTGACACTCGCTACCGCGCTGCACTTCCTGCTGAGTTCTGCGCCAAGAACCCCCCCCCCCCATGTATATCACCCTCTACTACATAGTCACCCGAGTCCCTGACTCCCTTCGCGTAGTCAGGGACCACCTCCTAGCAGTGTGCCCCACCACTCTCACCGTTGACCTCCTCGAGAAGGCCCTCCAAGCAGCGGAGAAGAGCATCGTCGCTGTAGGATCCTCTCGTGGTGACCCCCGCACCCCTGTCTTTGAGGGGTGTTCTCCCTCCCCCCTCTTGCCCTCTGTTGCTTCTGCTGCTACGGCCGACCTCGTTGGTTTTGAGTCGGTCGGCGCTGCGTCTGCCCCTTCGGGGAAACGCCGCACAGGCAAGGGCAAGGGGGGCAAGGGCGCTGGAGGAGTGTGCGGGGGCGGTGGAGGCGGCGGTGGAGGCGGCGGAGGGAGTGGGGGTGTTGGTGGGAGTGGTGGCGGGGGTGGGGGTGTCGGTGGCAGCGGTGGAGGCGGAGGCGGAGGCGGTGGTGGCGGAGGGAGCGGAGGCGGCGGTGGTGGCGGAGGCGGCGGCGGTGGCGGAGGCGGCGGAGGTGGCGGTGGAGCAGGTCGCGGTTCTGCACAGAGGAGTGGCTCAGGTGGTGGTCCGCGCCAGCAGCAGCAGCGCGGTCGTGAGACCCTGTCCCCTTACCAGCTCCGTGAGTGGTACACTGCACGCCAGCGGGGTGGGGGTTTTGGTCCGTGCACCTATGTCCTGCGCACTGGCGACCGTGCGGGTGAGCAGTGTGGGGGTGCGCAACCCACTCAGCGTTGCTTTGGCCGCCTGACGGACGCTTGGCGTCACCAGTTTCCGGAGGCCGCGGAGATCCCCCGCTGGGGTGAGCTGTCTAGGGCCGGAGCAGCAATCGTCGATCTTGACTTTGATGCTATCCTTGCTGCCATATATGCTGTGACTATTAGTGATGAGGGTGACTGTTACCGGTGTTTCCCGCCCGACCCGGGCATTGAGACTGCTGCTCTAGGTACTGGTGAGGCTGTTGCTCTAGGTGCTAGCGAGGCTGCTGCTCTAGGTGCAAATGCGTCTGCTCCCTCAGGTGCTGGTGAGTCCGCGCTCTCAGGTACCGAGTTGGCTTCGGCCTCCCTCACCTTCACCCTTGACTTGGGGGCTTCTCGCTCCATCTTTCGAGACCGCACCACTCTCACGCCGCTTGGTCGGCCAGTTGCGGTCTCTCTGGCAGACCCCTCTGGGGGTCCTGTCCTTGCTCACTTCTCCACTGTCCTCCCGTGTCCAGCGGCTCCCTCTGGCACCCTGTCTGGTCTTTACCTCCCCTCGTTCTCTACGAACTTGGTGAGTGGTGCTGACATTAGGGATAGGGCAGTTCACCAGCTCACTCCTGCGAGCCAGCGGGTGACCCACTGCACGGACGCTCGGACGGGCCGACACTTTGCCACGTTTACTCGTCGGCCGGGGTCGAGCCTGTACACACGGACCACTCCGTCCCCTCTTGTCCCTGCGTCTGGCCAGGTAGCTGCGTCGGGTCAGGTGTTTGCTGCAGCGTCCAGGTCTGGTCCTGAGTCTGCCCCCTGCTCGTGTCACCTCCTTTCTCACGAGACTCTTCTCTGGCACCACCGTCTTGGTCACCCCTCCCTGCTTCATCTCCGAGGCATGGCCTCCTTTCTCCTTGTCTCTGGTCTTCCCCGGTACCTCCCTCCCCTTCCTCCGGGGCCTGGCCCTACCTGCGTCCCCTGTGTCGACGGGCGGCAGCGCTCTGCCCCTCACTCCTCCCAGTTTCCTCCGACAGAGGCCACGCTGCAGGCGCTTCACTTGGACGTGTGGGGCCCTGCCCGTGTCCGGGGACAGGGTCACGAGCGCTACTTCCTGCTGGTGGTTGACGACTACTCGCGTTACACCACAGTCTTCCCCTTGCGCAGCAAGGGTGATGTCATTGAGGTGTTGATCGACTAGATCCGCGCAGCTCGTCTCCAGCTCAGGCAGAGCGTCGGCTCGGACATTCCTGTTCTGCGTCTGCACTCTGACAGAGGCGGAGAGTTCTCCTCTGGCCTTCCGCGAGCCTACTGTCGTGCACGAGGCATCCGCCAGACCTTTACGCTTCCGGACTCTCCACAGCAAAATGGGATTGCTGAGCGCCGCATTGGCATGGTCATGGACGTCGCTCGTACGTCCATGATGCATGCGGCTGCCCCCCATTTTCTGTGGTCGTTTGCGGTTCGGTACGCGGCGCATCAGATCAACCTCCACCCCAGGGTCTCCCACCCAGAGACCTCCCCAGCCTTGCTGTGGACGGGGAAGGTTGGCGATGCGTCTGCGTTCTGTGTCCGGGGATCTCGGGCGTTTGTCCGCGACTTGTCTGCGGACAAGCTGTCCCCTCGTGCTGCTCCTTGCGTCTTCCTGGGTTTCCCCCCTGACGCGCCAGGGTGGCAGTTCTACCACCCCACCTCTCGCCGTGTTCTGTCCTCCCAGGACGTCACGTTTGACGAGTCGGTCCCCTACTACCGTCTCTTCCCCTACCGCACTCCGTCCCTCCCCCAGCCGCCGCTCTTCCTTGTACCAGGTCCCCCCCCGGTAGACCCCCTCCCCCCTCAAGGTCCTGCCCCTTCAGGTATGTCCCACGTAGACGCAGTCGAGCCTGTCAAGGTCACTGGTGACTCTAGTGCTGCTGAGGGTGCTGAGCCTGGGGGTGCTGAGTTTGGGCGTGCTGAGCCTGGGGGTGCTGGGTCGGGGGGTGCTGAGCCTGGGGGTGCTGAGCCTGGGGGTGCTGAGTCTGGGGATGCTGATCCTGGAGGTGCTGAGCCTAGGGGTGCGGAGCCCGAGGGAGTTGAGCCTACTGGTGCCGTGTCTAGCGGTTCTCCGGGTGCTTCGTCTCGCCGGGAGCCCCTCCCCACAGGAGCTGCGTGAGTGGTTTGCTCGGCGCTGGAGGCGCGCTGCTGGAGCTGGAGGTGCTGCGGGTACTGGAGTTTCTGCTGCTGCTGAGGGTGCTGGTGCCGCGGGTCCCAGAGGTGCTCGTACTGGAAGTACTGGAGCTACTGGGCCTGCGGGTACTTCTGGAGCTTGAGCTGCTGCAGGTGTTGGCGCCGAGGCTTCTGTTGTCGGTCCTGGAGGCGGCCCTGCTGGGGGTGCTATTGGTGATGCTGGCGGTCCTGGAGCTGGAGGTGCTGCTGGTGCTGGTGCTGCCGCAGGGGGTCCTGGTGTTGTCCCTGCGCTGTCTAGAGTCGCTGCGCGGCCTCGGCCGTACTTCGTTCCGCTCCTTCAGCAGGTTCTTGGTCTCCCGTCTTCTACTGGTCCTCCTCATCCCTTAGCGTGTCCACAGCGTGTCCCGTCATAGTTACAGCTACAGCCGCCCTCCCCACTGCCTGCTCCTTCTCCCTACACTGGTCCTACTAGAGGTCTTGCTGAGCGTCGTGAGCCTGAATCTCGCCCTGCGTCGCTTGTCCGTCCTGCTCGCACTAGTGGTCGTGGTTCGCGTCAGCGTCCTCCTCCTATCCCTGGCACGCACCGGATGTCTCTGCGTCCGTCCACTGCTCCTCTACGTGCCCCTTTACCTTCTCCTCTTGCATCTTCTCTTCCTGCTCTTTCCGACCCGGAGTCGGACTCTCTTCGTGCTGCCAGTCCTACTGTCACACGTCTCCTTGCTACTCTTGTCACTGACCCTTCCTTTGAGTCCACTGCTGCGTCCGCCCTAGTTGCTGAGCTCGTCGACTTTGCTGCTCGCTGTCGCCTAGACTACGTCGCCAGTCTTTTTGCAGAGTCTGAGTCTGTCTGTCCTCCGTCCGTCGGGGGTGAGTGTGCCCTTGGCACGGACGTCCTTAAGGACAGGCAGGAGGAGTTCCAGTGCTTGGTCGCTGCTTCACCTCATCTCGTGCTCGTGGTGCTTACCCCTGAGGGAGACCCGGATGCACTTGACATCCCGACTCCGCGCTCTTACGCGGAGGCGATAGAGGGTCCCTACTCTTCTTAGTGGCAGGCAGATATGGATGCAGAGATGGCTTCCTGGAAGTCCACAGGCATCTACGTTGACGCTGTCCCCCCTCCTGGGGCGAACATCGTCAGTGGCATGTGGATTTTCAGGGTGAAGCGGCCGCCGGGTTCTCCACCTGTCTTCAAGGCGCGTTACGTGGCTCGTGGCTTCAGTCAGCGGCAGGGAGTTGACTACTTTCAGACCTTCTCTCCCACCCCGAAGATGACCACTCTTTGGGTACTGCTGCACGTAGCTGCTCACCGTGACTACGAGCTACACTCTCTTGACTTCAGCACTGCTTTCCTGCAGGGCAACCTGCACGAGGAGATCTGGCTGCGCCGCCCACTTGGCTTCACTGGGACATTTCCTCCTGGCACCTAGTGGAGCCTTCGGCGGCCCGTCTACGGTCTCCGCCAGGCACCGCGTGAGTGGCACGACACACTGAGGACTACGCTTGCGGCTCTTGGGTTTGCTCCCTCTACTGCCAACCCGTCGCTGCTTCTATGCACCGACACTTCTCTGCCGCCGTTCTACATCCTCATGTACGTCGACGACTTGGTCTTTGCCACAGCTGACACTGCTGGACTCGCCTACATGAAGTCCGAGCTGCAGAAGAGACACACGTGCACAGACCTGGGTGAACTGCAGCTACCTTGGCTTAGAGATCACCCGGGACAGAGCACACCGCACCATTACCCTGACTCAGTCACACATGGTGCAGCAGGTGCTTCAGCGCTTCTCCTTCACGTACTCCTCGCCTCAGGCCACTCCTCTGCCTACTCGCCACTCGCTCTCAACTCTGCCTTCGGATGAGTCCGTAGAGTCGAGTGGCCCGTACCCAGAGCTTGTTGGCTGCCTCATGTACCTGATGACCTGCACACGACCTGACCTTGCATACCCTCTTAGCATTCTCGCATGCTATGTTGCTCCAGGGAGACACCGACCAGAGCACATGGCTGCAGCAAAGAGGGTGTTGCGCTACTTGTGCAGTACGTCGGGCATGGGGCTAGTGCTTGGAGGGCGGAGTCCAGTGGTCCTCACTGATCACGCAGACGCTTCTTGGGCTGACGACCAGGCTATGCAGCGGTCGTCAGAGGGTTACACCTTCAGCCTTGGTTCCGGCTCTGTTTCGTGGCGGGCTACTCGCTCGTCTTCTGTTCTCGGCTCCAGTTGTGAGGCTGAGATCTACGCAGGGGCCATGGTTGCTCAGGAGCTTCGCTGGCTCACCTACCTGCTGACCGACCTTGGAGAGCCGCCTCGTTCTCCTCTAGTCATGTACGTAGACAACAAGGCCATGCTGGCCTTGTGTCGAGAGCAGAGACTGGAGCACAGAACAAAGCACATTGCTCTCCGCTACTTCCTTGCTCGTGAGCTACAGCAGCGTGGTCAGTTGCGGCTTGCGTACGTGGCCTCTGAGGCCAACACTGCTGATGTCTTCACCAAGGCACTTGCGCCTTTTGATCATCAGCGCTTTTGCACCCAGCTGGGTCTTGTGCCTGTCTTGCCTCACTTGCTCACCTCTTGACCTTGCTTGTACTGTTATATATGTATATATATATATACCTGCTCTTGCTTGTCTAGCCTTATATATATATATACTCCTGCATGTGAACTGGCTTTGTGGCCTTGAACTTGTGCTCGGAATGTGTGGTGACTTTGTGATCCACCCTGAGCTTGCTTTGCTTTGCTTTACTTGACTGGTCTTGTGACCCCTTGTTCTCCCCCACTTTGCCTATGGGGGTGTGTCAGAACATTATAGCTTATGCATTTGTGTAGGCTGTAGTGGGGTAGCCCGTAAGGGGTACAACCCAATTGTGGTTAGTACTTGTACCCAACTCTTTCATAGTTGATTCTTCTCGTTTCAGTTTTCTCACTACGAGCACGCGATTGCGTTCGTCGTCTACGACGGCTATGTGAGCAAGGTGCTCATGAAGGAGCTCACCGTCTTGAAGCCGGGGGAGTTGGATAAATGGAAGGAGGTGTGGGCGGAGGTCAAGTTCTTGCCGACTGGGATGTGGACGGTGATGTGGGCAAGAGGCTTGTGCCATCCGAGAGCACGGTAAGACGGATCCTGACGTGCCGAATTCTGTCGACCAAGTCGTGTCATTACGCTGATGTTGACGAAGTCGTGTCGTTCTAATGTGTTTGCGCGGCAAGTTCGACGACATACTCGGCAGGTATCGTGGGTACGCGAGTTCGGGTGATGCGCTTCATGACGTGCTCTGGCCGGCGATCTGGTTCCCCATCATCGAGGACACGAAGGAAGGCAAGGAAGAGACGGACGCTCTCATGTCGGCGATGGTAAATCGCGTGTCGATGTGTGCAGCGTATGGGAAGGTCACGGCGAGCGCGGCGTTTGGGAAGGTCGATGCGAGCATGGAGGGGAAGGCGGACGAGAAGACGGAGATGGGGGCCCAGGCGTTAGCGGCATCGGCATGCGCCATCTGGTGCTTCTTGGAGACGGGGGCGTCGGTGCTCGGTGCTGTGGGCGAAGGGAAGGCGGCGGCGATGGTGGCAGGTGCGGGGGAGGCGAGGGCCGAGGACTTCAAGGAGGTGATGCACGCGGTGATCGACATAGCACGCAGTAGGCAGGCTCCCGCGGGGGAGGTTGCACATAACGTCGCGCCATCACTGCAGAGCCAGGCAGTGGCCAGGGCCTTCGCGAAGGGAGTTGAGGAAGTCGAGGCCGACATGATCGCAAGAGCGACGGTCGAGACCTTGGCGTTCTGGGGAATGTGCCCCGTCGCCGGGCCCAAGCTCAAAGCGCAGGGCATCAATGTGCCGTGTGACGCGAGGATGGAGTACGATATGGATCACAGGGGGAGGAAGGGAGAGAAGGTCAAGCAGAGCAAGGGCAGCAGCAAGAGGAAGAAGGGCAAGCAGGGCAAGGGCAGTACGGATGCGTAGTTGGCGGGCTGTATGGTCGGCGCCGATGTCGTAGTAATTCTAATGACTTTTGTATCGTAGGGCACGAATCTTTTTTCTTTTTTAGTAAATCAGTGTCCACATTGAAACTTGCTAGCTGACTTTGAACGATGCGCTTTGTCGGCGCATATGTCGACATCAAAAGGAACATGCTACTCAGCGAGCAGCGATGATAGAGAAGGTAGACACATGCTACTCCGCGACGAGTTTTGTCGGCGAATATGTCGACACCCTAGCAACATGCAATCAAGCGAGACGTCGACATCGAGCTGTGTTTAGATGTCAGCAAGGATAGTATTTTTGTTTCTTACTGAGCGACCGACTACATTTAACACAGCGGGACCCGGTAGCTTTGCAAGGGCCTTGCAGTGGGTTGTTACCAACTACCGGAACAGCATTTGGAAAAAGAAGGGAAGGGGGGGTGGGGGGGGGGGGGGGGGGGGGGGGTGTACAAATCTGCCACAGTTAACAGCATCGAACTACGCACACACATATCCTACAGGCGCGATCATGCCGACTTCTTGCGCTTGGTCGGAGGACGGTGCACCGGAGCGGTCGGCTTGGCTGGGGCCGTCGGCTTCGCCAGGTCGGCCTTGGTCTTCGGCATCTGCTCCTCCCACGTGTCTGGAAACAGGGTTTCGACCCAATCACTCTGCTTCAGGTTGAGCGCCACAAGCGCACAGGCAAGGCGTAGCTTTGAGACCACCTTGGGGCCCAGCCCCTTGACTCCCAAACCAGGCTCTTTGGACAACATCGGTGCCGTTGCCGATTTGAGCACCGTGAGGGCATCGGCGAAGGTCCCGATGCCCAATGTCGCGATCCTGTGCAGTGTGTCGACCACGGCCTCGGTGTCGGCGTCGCCGTCGCTCGCACGTAGCTGGCGCACCGCATCCATGACCTTCAGCATGCGGCGCACCCTCTTGTTGAGTGCACCCTGCGTAGCGCCGGTGAGGAGGGTGTGGCGGTCGATGAACCCCGGCTCGGCGATCTTGTCGCAAAGCCGACGGGTGTCATTAGCGGTGGCGTAGTTCCACAGGCGCCAGGCGTCCCTCACGGTCTTGGCCTCCCGCCACGGTTGTACCACGTTGAGCTCGTAACTAGCCTCCTCGTCCGTCTGTGGGGGTGGAGGGGGTTTGTCGTCCCCTCCGTCGGCGCCGGCTCCCATGTTGGCCGAACCCGCCGAGCCACCCTCGCTGGGAGCTTGCGCGGTAGCACATGGCGGGGCCTCCGGCACTCTCCGTGCTTCTGACACACGCAGTGCCTCGGTGAGACGGGTTATCTCGACGGTGAGAGACGCGATGGTGTCGTCGCGCTTCTCGAGCTCCTCCAGGAAGTCAATCTTCTCGTTCGCGGCACGCTCCATCTCCTTCGTCAGCTTCGCCTTGAGGGATATGTTGTAGTACTGGGTGTCCATGCGGACAGAGATTTCCTGCAGCGGTAGGACAAAGACGTTAGCTGCGAGGTGGTTTGGAATGCCCTACAGCCAACTCGTCGTTGACTTACCTCTGCCTGAATTTGGGCCGGGTCCCGACGCTTGTTGATCGTCTCGGTGTCGATCTTCAGAGTAACCGGCCTTCTTCATCACCACCCCCACCGGAATGGCGGTGATGTACGCTCGCGTCATTTTGTCGAGCGCCCAGTGACCCAGCTCCGCGATCTCGGCGCGCGGCGTGCCGTCGATGGCCAGCTCCTGGGCCCCTCCGGCTCGAGCGGCGTGCACGTTCCTCTTGCAGAAGACCCCGTTTTCGTCCCACAACTACCGTGTCCAGTGTTGGTGGCTTGCCAAAGAGAGCTCCCCTTGGTCGGTGTCGTTTTTGGCGAAGAAGAGGTGCTTTTGTACCAGCTCGCGCGTGTGCTGGTGTCCACCGGCGGAATGAGGCGGATGCCGTGAAACTGGCCGATCTGGTCGAGGATGAACTGCAACCACAGGCCCGTCTCACCGACGGCGCACAACTCCGCTTCGAGGTGCCGCGCAGCGTAGCTCTGCTGCAGACGCACATCCTTGGACGTCTTCGAGTTCCACGCAGCGATGACCATGACGACCGGCTGGTTCTCCGGGTTCACCGACGAGGTGCTCGCCAGTCGGTACAAGAATATGTCGGGGAGCGTGATCTCGCGGATGCTTGCACCGCGCAGAAGAGAGTGGTGGGAGAGTAGCCTGAGCACCTTCAATAGCAGAAACCGCCATAGCGTCTGCGACGGGCCCGTACCCTGCGGGTTCCACGCCTTGGCCGCCCACGTCGGCAGCACCCTGAACATGATCTGGCGGAACTGCTCGGCGGTGTAGGTATCGCCGATTGTTCCGCGATGCCGATCGGTGCAGTTCCTGTCGACAATGCCGAGGGTGGGGGGCAATTAGGGCGGCATCGACTCAGTACAAGACAACAAGAGGTTAAACAAAAACTCACTTGATGTCCCGCTCGTTCTTGGTGCGGATCATGAACCGCACCTCCGACCTGACCACCGATATCTCTCGCATGATACTCAGCTCCGTCTCCCGGTATATCGTCGCCTCCACTCTCGCCGCCATCTGGCATGCCTTTATGCGCCCGAGGAGCGTGTGCACCGTTGTAGATTGCACAGGCTGTGTTCCTGTGGCGTTGTCGCCCTTCTTGCTGGACTCGGCATCGAGATTCAACTCCCGAACCATGTACTTCACGTATGCGCGAAGCCGGGACTTGGTGACCCTAGGGCCGTGCAGCCACACGTACGACCGGGGGACATCGGCCTCTTGGTCCCAGTTTTTCTTCTTGTTGTCCCGGATGTAGTGCTCTATCTCGTCGACGTGCTTAAGCATGTACTCATGCGGAAGCTTGTTGCGAATTTGCCTCCACATCTTCGCCGCCCACCTCTTGTAGTGATAGATCCACGAGGTGTACTGCCTCGGCGTGCTGTTCCTCTCCACGGTTTGCAGGTGGCGTAGGGCGTCCAAGACGAGCACGTCGATGGTTGCGTACACCATGTCTTCCTCGACGAAGTCTGCCGCCCTCCACTGTTCGCGCGGCACCGACAAATTCTCCTGGTCGGCATCCTCGTCCTGTTCGAGCAGATCATCTACGTATTCAAGTTCCCGCCTGAGCCGTTCTTCCAAGGTGCGCTGACTAGTGCTACGCGGCGGACGCTCGTCGTTTTCGTCATCGCTTTCCTCCTCCTCCTCCTCCTCCTCCTCCCCCCCATCCTCCTCCTCATCGACCTCAACCTGGTTTCCAGAGCCGGCCGGTGCCGACGAAGTTCCTGGCCGTCCATTTCGCGTCGGATTCTGTTTTTTATTCTTGTTAATTTCCCCGATCGGCGGTGGGGGAATGTCCTTGGTGAACTCCCCTTCTGGAATCTGCGTCAGCTTGTCAAGATCTTAGAGTAAGGGGAGCGTCTCTTCCTCGGTAGATGTCGGACTGTGGTCGGTGGATGGTCTAGCGTCAGTCATGTCGACGTCGGCCATGTGGCAGCACGTATGTTGCTCTATCGTCGTCCGTGTGCGATGCGGAGGTCGGTAAACTAGAGACGGTACTGATTCACGGGTGCGGTGTACAACCGAAGAGTAGCGCGGCGGTCTTCCTCTAGATAACGTTCAATAACGTCTAACTCGTGTTCGACCTCGAGATTGCGGGGGTTGGTAAACCAAAGACGGTACTGAGTCACAAGTGTGGTGAACGCCCGGAGAGTTGCACGACGGTCTTATTTGAATTCTCGGTCGAGTGAGTCTAACTCGGCTTCGACCTCGAGCCGTTCCAGCTCCGCTTTGATGTCGGCGTCTACAGAGTCGGCGGGGGGTGGAATGGGTTGCGGCTGTTGGGCTCTAGGGCGACCTCTGGCCATGCGTCGCCGACTTGCTACGTTGGCGGGGACGTTAGGAGGTTGCACCGATGTTTAGCTAAAACAGCAGACGTCGACGTTGATGACTACTGACCAAGTCGGCAACCGAGTAACCTACACGCGCGATGACGGACTGGCAGCTGAAAATTCTAAGTGCACGAGAGAGCAGGAAGAAACGCAGGAACGGACGTGGGAATGAGCAGGCCCGCAAGGTCACGGACGGGTATGGTCTTGAGCGACTCCGAGCCAAACCCGAGGTCGTCAGAATGTCGTCAATCCCGAGGGCCCCCGAGGCACCTCGGTCGCCAGTTCGGCCCAGTTTGCCACTCGGAGGTCGTCAGGAGCTCGTCAATCCCGAGGGGGGCCCTTGTCCCACTTCAACTGCGAAATTGGGCGGCGTTTTTCGTCCGCTGAGATATATCATCCCAAACCACCCGTCAGCACGAAACTGGGCTGGATTCGCTTCTCCTGTCTGAGTTCGCCTGCTGCGGTGTTTCTTTTTTTTTCTTTTCTTTTTTTTTTTTTGAAGGATGCATTACACTTATAAAGTGGGTACATCCACAGTCGTAACTGTAGGGGGGAAGGGACCAGGCAACCAGGAGGTCTGCACCGCCCTTCCTTTACCAACTAAGGTGGGTGAAAGACAGTTCTCGGGTTGGCCCACACCGATCTGAACTCCTCCTTCCACGTCAGCGTGTCCTCGTCCTGAAAAATCCGGCTCAACAGCATAGCCTCGTCCCTCGCCAGATGGGGGCAGCATTGTCCCGCCCCACTTGCCTCCTCTTTTGTCGCTTGTTTCTTGTAGGTACTGTAGATTCTGACGTGTTTCATAAAATTCACCCCAATCTTCCTGAGGACTCTCCGCGGTTGAAACTTGTCCTGCCGGAAAGCTGCCTCACACCGCTCGAGCCATATCTGATGGAAAGCCACCGCAATCAGCGGCTTTTCAGGGAAGCCAGATGACGTGCCATCTGCGGCAAACAGAAAGTCCTCCAGCCTTTCCACCTCCCTTGTCGGATTCATCTACTTCAACGCCCCTTTAAGCGCGCCAATGACAGGTTGTATGCTGTCGCACTCCAGCAAACAGTGTCCTAGGGTTTCATCTTCCTTGCAGTGCGGGCAGCTGATGCGATCATGCATGAAGTGTAACCTGTCGCCAACTTGGAGGTTCTTACTGTGCAACCTCAGAATGACTTCTCTTGCCCTGCCCGGAGTGACCAGTGTGTCCCGTTTCCTGATAGACTCCTTCCAGTCAATCGGCTTCCCATACTCCTGCTCCCACTTCTTCTGCTGCTTTGGCTGTTCGACTGGCCCTCTCAGCTCCGCTCTCAACTTTTTCAGAGGAGCGCCTTTGCCCTTCGCACATAGCACCGACGTCCTGAGCCGTGTGAGAGGAAGGCCCGCTTCCCCCATCAGCACCCCATTTTCCACCACCAGCGGGGTTAGCCTGTGTACCGCAAGCCGCACCTGACCAGCCCTGTCTGATAGCAGCACCTCTCCTTTCTTCCCCACCGCAGCTGATTTGCCAAGAATCTCGTCGCCGTCACGTGCTATTAGTTGCCAGTACATCTCTCTCCCTGCCAAGGAGCGCGTGCTGGCAAATCGAGTTGTTTTCAGCACCTCTTCGCCTGTCAGTTTTTCCAGCAGTGCCGCTTTCCATTCGTCCGGCGCCGCTTTCCATGCCTTCAGCGCCCACCGCGCCGTCACAGAGCTACCTGTTTCTTTGGTCAGGGTCCACACATCTTTAACCTTCCGTGATCCGTCCCACTCCGCTTGAATCAGGTCACCCAGCTTCATTTCCAGCAAACACTCTGAGCCCTTTTGTCGCCCGAATGGGCTTTTACCTCTGTAGAAAATGTATCTGCTGAAACAGAGTCTCTCATTTGCATACTCCCAACGATTCGCCGGTGCCTGTACCTTCGACTGCAGAGTCTGCCAGAAGGTTATCACCGTCCTTCTCCATTTTTCCCCTCCCTTAGTCCACACTCTCAGGGCCGACCGATGTGCTAATGGCGTTGACCATCCTAGTGGCATCCCCGCTGCTCTCTCCATCAGCCATCGTTTCATCGGGTCCTTTTGCTGTACTGCAACTCCAAGGTTTTTAAGCGCCATACACTCCATCCGGACCGTTGGATTAATGACCCCCAGTCCCCCCTCTTTCCTGCTCGTGTAGGCCAGGTCCCCGCTCCAGAGGACGAAATGTCGGTCAGCCGATGCCTTCCCACTGGACGTGAAGTTGTGACTGGTCGCGCGGAACTCTTTCCATGTCCCCCGGGGAGGTGGATAGACTTGAGCTTGGAAGAGGAGAATCGGCGTGGCATACGAGTTGAGCACCGTGACACGCGTCGATGTATTAATGTGCTGATTCTGCCACTTCACCATCACCTCCCCTGCTCTGTCAGCCGCCTTCTCCCATGACGGCGTCGGGTCTCCACCCGGCGTTATCCAGATACCCAGCAACCTCTGCGGCTCATTTTTTCCTGCCCAGGGGTAAGGCGCATCTGCCGGTGGAGGTACATCCTGATTCTTCCCCAGCGGGACAACCACCGTCTTATCCTTGTTGACTTTGAGCCCGGACAGCTCACCAAACTCCTCCAGCAGCTCACACGCTCTTCCAACTTGTTCTTTCCTGTTCAGCACCACCGTCGTATCATCCGCATATCCCAAATATGCCACATCACCGATTCCACGCTTCCATACACCCAGCCGCCGTCTCTTTATCTCCTGACTGAGTGGCTCAGCTGCGCAGATGAAGAGGTAGGGTGCTAGCGGACAGCCCTGGCGCACTCCTCTCTCCATCCCCACCCGTTCTCCCAACCATCCGTTGATCAGCAGCTGCGTTCCCGACTGATCATGCAGACCCTTCGTCCAGTTCACATATTCTTCCGGGAAACCCATGCGCTCCAAAGTCTGAAACATGTAGTCTCTGGAGATTGAGTCATACGCTTTCTGAAAATCGACCAAGAGAAGGTACCAATCTTCTCTCCCCGCTGCTGCCGCGTCGACCACATCAGCCACAGCGTTGACTGCATCTGCCAGCTTCCTCCCTGGTATGAAACCATACTGGTGCTCCGAGATCACCATCGGTAAAACCTTCTTGATTCTGTTCGCCAGCACTTTCGCCACGATTTTGTATGCTGCACTTAGTAGCGTTATGGGTCTGTAGTTTTCTAATTTCCCCTTGTCCCCTTTCTTGTGCAGCAGAATGGTCACCGCCGTTGTCATTTGCGAGGGGAGCGCCGCAGAGGCTTCAAACTCCTTGATGAAACGAAGGAAAGGCCGGCCAAGCATGTCCCAGTTCTCCTCAATGAACTCCTTGGGGAGACCATCCAACCCCGGCGCCTTTCCTTTCGGTAGCTGCTTGATCGCCGCCAAAACCTCTTCTTCCGACCAGGAGGCCCTCAGCATCTCTTTTTCCAGCACCCCAAGGACCTTGTTCGGGTCAACACGCCAAGCTTCCTTCACCACGCCCTCCTGCGCAGCAAAAGCCTCTGTAAAGTACCTTGAAGCTGCGGTAAGTACTTCTCTTTCCCAAGCCAAGCACTCTCCCTTGTAGGTGACTTCCTCTATCACCGTTTGCGCCTTCCTCGTCACAATCCGTCCAGAAAGAACTTTGGAGGAAATTTCCCCGAAGACCTCCTGTTGAGCACCCGCCATAGTCTGCAGCTGCGACCGCTGCCTTTCTCGGTAAGCTTTGAGCATTGACCCGTACTTCACCAGCTGCTCGTAGCTCTCCATATCCCCCGTTCCATTCATGAACTCATATTCCAGCCGTGTCACCGCCTCCTCTAAACTTAAAACTGTTTTTTTGACACGCTTCCTCTCTTCCTTCGAGTGCGCTCTGATGCTCGCTTGCAGTTTGACCAGCAGCTGTGAGAAATCGTGAAGCTGCAGATCTTCCTGCTCCTCAAGGACTAGGCCAATCCTCTTCCTGATACCCGGACTCTTGGCTTGGGACGCGTGCATCCGCCACAGTCCCGGTCCTTTACCACCATCAACCTCCACGGAGAGTTCCAGTGATATCGCATACCAGTGATCCGATATACCATGGGGAACAGATGAGTGGTACGCATCCCCAATCTTATGAAGAAGCGACTGCGACACCAGTGCTCTATCAATGCGAGTGCGCTCCTTCACCGAGTGCGCGTAAAAGGTATACTCCCGCTTGGTTGGATGAAGCGTCCTGAAGGCATCCTGTAAGTTGAGCGACGACAGGATGTCCAGGAGTTTTTGGTTTTCTCGCGCTTATCCCACCTTCGATGACTTATCAATCCGTGGATCTGCTACAACATTGAGATCGCCGATGAGTATCGTATGAGACACCGGTGGTAGATTGCTGACAAACTCCGTTAAACAATCTCTAAAAAAAACACTTCTGTTCGTTGCCTGCGCAGGAAAGTACGCCGCCAATACCCGCCAGGTCAGACCCTCTCTTTCTACTGTCACCGCGACCAGCCTGCCAGACACATGCGTGCAGACGTCCTTAAACATCACACCTGCCGTGAAACTGAGAACCGCAACCCCCCCCGCTCCTCCTTCAGGTGAGACTGCTGCAAAAGCTGTAGGATTTAGTTGCGTCCAAAAATTATGGTCTGCTGCTACTCTAGTGTCCGTTAGCACCAAGATATTTGCCGCTGACTTGATCCAGCTCTGATGCGTGTTCCTCTTCTCCACACCGCCTAAACCATTGATGTTCAGCGCGGTAATAACAAACTTGCTCCTTCTATTCATTTGACCACTGCTGAAGACCCCACAGCATCCACGGGTCGGCATAACGTACTGATAAAGAAAATACCACAAACTGCTACTGCTGCGAAGAAGGAGCCTACTAGAAAACACTCGAAAGCCTGCTTAATCTCCGGATGTTCCCCCCCTTCCTGACTGCAGGAGCATAGTCCAGAACATGCTGAAGCCGTACATCCATCTCGTCCGCTTATCACATTCCGTACTCCTTCTTGATGGTAACCAGGTTCACCGCACTCATTGTCACCCTGGTCGCCGAGCCCAGTTCTTCCAGGTGAATCAAATGGTCTGCCGATGTGATGTGGTCCGCAGCAGCCATGAAAGATGAACCCTTCGCCTTTCCGCACCCCGCCTGTGTGCAGATCCATTCCTCCCGATTCCCTCCCGTAGATATAAGCACAATGGCAGGATCCAGAAGGATGGGGGTGACTAGTGGAGACGTGCGAGTGGACGCAGCTGCGACACGGGATCCATTTGTTAGAAACCGGTAAGCAAGAATGACAAAAAAGCGGTGATTGATGTAGATCCACTGTGTTACCATTGATCTTATGCACCCTCCCCAGATTAAGACTCCACTTCCCTATGTTATTCTGGCGTTCGGTGACGAACACATCATGAAACTTTTCATAATGATGTCCACTACAGAGCGCGCAGGATAGCAGGGGGTAGTGGACCAGAATATGCCGCGAGGTGTCCATGGGGTTGTTGACTGCATGACGCCAGCGGTGCTGATCACCTGGGTGAGCGATCACCAGATCTTTCACTGTGTCCGTATCCGCTCCCGTGACAGGATGAGACACGCGGTGAAAGCATAGGCCCTTAGCAAAAGCCGGCACTTTGCGGATCTTCAGGGCGTAGCGGCACAGCAAATCTTTCAACAGGTCAGGTGAGACATTAGCCGGGACATCCTTGAAATAAAGCTCAATAATTGCTGGGTTAGAAGCTTTTTCCTTCATGTATGCCGGGTCTTCGGTATGCAGCCAGAAAAGGGTGATCTTTCCTTTCGGCCGCTGATACTCAACCACTTTCAGCCTGACCGCAGCAGCATCCTCTTCTTGCAGGAACGAAACTTGAAGACGGCAGAAATGCTGCTTCGCGATGTACGTCGCTGAGAGGGTTTGCACCGAGGCCGAGTCAACAGCACCAGGAGAGAGAGACGGAGCCCAGACCTTCCGAAGCAGAACCCACACTATGTTGATGATGGCACCCATTTCATTCTTCAGCGAGAAAGGGATCAGCAGGATGGCCGTGAACCTTAGACGTGCAGCAGCCTCCTGCTGGACATCAATGTCCAGCTCTTCGTCCGAGTCATCCTCCAGGAAGCCATCAGCAGAGAGTTGCGGCGACGTCGAAGCCTTCTCTGCAGGTGAGAGGCCAGAGCTTCCCGCGACAGCAGCAGTAGACAACACCGGGCCCTTTCCAAGAGCGGCACTGCCTTCAGCAGGGACTGGAACAACTGGCTCCATAGGGGGAGGAGCCACAGCATCCTTATCAGGGACTTCTTCCACCACTTGTTTACCCTTGGCAGGAGCGCGAGGCATGGTGCAATGATGACTTGAGTACGGCAGGAAAGTTGAGATAAAGGCCTGAAATGCCTGATATGCCAGTAGTCTGAGCACAGAAGTATTAAATAGCTTCGCTGGTAGCCTTGCTAGCCATTGCTCCTGCTGTAAATGCTGAGCAGTCGCCGATAAGTCCCCTTGGTAATCTCCTTCTTTTGAAAGACACGATCTTGGAAGCCAATGAAACTTATCATTGCTGTCATGCTTAGCAAACCGAGACCCTGAACTTGACGCACAGTTAATGAAGACCTTGAGAACTGATAGCTGAGATAACAACAGGTTAGACTTGAGAGTCGATACAATGTTCATCAGTTGAACACCAAGGTTGTACCAATCTCTTCGTCTTAACGAGGCGAATTCAAAACTGTTGTTCTTAAAGCCAGCTGACATGTAGGCTTCACGCGCGATAGTTCCAGGCTACGGAAGGATGGCCATGGCGGCCTTGCTGACATGGTGCAAATAATGGGGTTTTTGTTTACCAGTCTGCGGTGTTTCTGAAACATGCTGACTTCGTTCTCCAATCAGAACGCACGAAAGGGTGGGCATAAAAAATACACTCAAAAAACACCACTTAGTATGTAGACCGCAGCTTTAAGGCCAATCGGCCTAACATAATCACTTCTAAAATGTAGCCCAAGCCTGAGCGGCCAAGATTTTGGTGCCCTGCTCACAACGGAACACTCACCCCCGTGACCCGCTGATTCCCCGTCTCGTCCCTCCCCTCCCCACTGCATTCTCTGGCCGGCTCCTCCACTACTTTTCCCCCGCCATCTCTCCCGCCTTTCCCCACCTCCCCCCAACCGCTCACCCTTCTCCCCCCAAACTTCCTTTACCGCCCTTTCCCCAGAGCCTCCACCGCCCCAACCTCCTCTCCCCCTCTCCCTCCCCCTCCCCCCACCACATTAGTTGAGTGGCTCCTTTCACCACCACACCACCTCAGCTTGAGTCCCCAGCCAATGGCCATGCGTCGGAGGATACCTATCACTGGCAACTAAAACTTGCCGGCCAACTTTCCACATTGTCCCAATTTTGGTATCTCACATCACAAGTTCTGATTCTCGCGTAATCGACTCGACCATAAAAGCAGCAACCTCGCACGTCCCTGTGTCCACGCCTTCGCTTGTACTTCCTTTGCTGTTATTATATTTATTGCTCGCGTACCTGCGAGTCGCGAGCAATGCGTTTGGTTCAACTACGTCTTGATCAAGTCGATTACGTAAAATGGCGTGCTTCTGCTGAGCGAAAAATGGCTCCTTGATCTGACCGTTAGTTCATTGTCTCCACTGGGACACGTCAGCTGTCACCAGTCGCAGACATGCCAGGTAAGCATATCTTGACTCGCGGTACCCGCGCCGTCGCGTTTCACCGCACGTTCAGTCGCTCTCGCTCGATACAGCGACCCTTATTCTCGACGTCGCTGTTTCTGCGTCTCAATCTTTCGTTCTGGCGGGAAGAGAAGGCTCGAAATCGGACCGAGTCAGTTGTGCCAGTGTATAAGAGTATGCGGACTGCAGTTGCACAAGTGGGCGTATAACGAATGAAAGAGGGAAAGAGGCAATGTATATTCCGAATTGTGCGAACGGAAACAAGTTATCCGTCGCCCAGTCCTCGCCTCAACATGCAGTTTCCTCTGCCGCCGCTGCTACTGCTGCCGCTGCCGATGGTGCTGCTGCTGCCGGCGCCGCCGCTCCTGCACCACCCATCACCTCCTCCTTCTGTCTCCACTACCCCTTTTCTGTTCCACGTCATGCATCCATTTCTCCCACCCTTATACTCCTCTCCCCGATTCCCTCCCCTCCTCCATCCTCTCCTCCATCCCCTCCTCCCTCCCTTCCTCCCATTCCTCCCCCCTCCGCTCCTCCTCCCCTCCTCCCTTCCCCTTCCCCCCACTCTCCCCCCCCTTTCCGCGTGCAGGCCGGGCAACAGTGCAGTACCCAGCGGGCCGGCTAGCAGTAGACGAGCTCGTGGTGCTGCTACAGCCGTCGTCGCCCAACGACGCTCACCCCGACCAGCAGTCCCAGCAGCAGCAGCAGCACGGCCAGCAGCACCCCGGAGACGACTCCGCCGCCCGCTTCTCCCTCCAGTCCATCTTCTCCGGCGGAAAACCCGCCCCCGCGGGGCTTCCGCCCGCCGCGGGAAGAAACGGCTCGTCAGATCTAGATTCGGATTTAGACGACGATGGGAGCGGGGGAGGGGGAGGGGGAAGCGGGGGCGGAGGGGGAGGCGGGGGGGGAGGCGGGCAGGGGCAAGGGGGAGCGGCGCTGCGGCAGCTGTGGACGTCGAACTGGCTGGAGGAGAGCGGGGTGGTGGTGGCGGTGCCGTCGTGCTCTGACCGCATGGCCGTTGGCTTTGGCTCCACACTCGTGCTGCTCGATGGCCTCGTTGCCGCCGATATGGGGTGAGGGTGGGTGGGTGCGGGGCGGCGATCAGGAGGGTGCGATCAGGGTAATGCAGTTAGGTTAGTTTCTGAGGTGGTTGTAGCAGTGGAGTGGGATCGGCAAGGGTGGGAGAGGGTAGCTGTTGTGGCGTGGGCGGGATCAGGGACGGCTGAGATCAATTGAGGAGGCTGACGGAGAGGAGAGTGAGCACGATAGGGAGGGAGAGCACGCATTTAATGCTTGGACGAAGGACGGGGACTAGGATAGGCCAGGGAATGTGAGGAATGCCTGGGGGATCAGAGACGGTGGCAGAAAGAAGTGACTGGGGAGTGGGGAGCTTGTCTGGGCTTGGTGGTGGTATAGATGGCGAGCGCAAGGGCGGGGCAACGAAGGGGGATGCGTGAGTTGATGGGGGCAGACACACGAGTGTTGAGACGTCTCCAAGGTTGTGCTTGGCGGCACGGCAGCTTTCGAGCTTTTGAGACGTCTGATAAGCGTGAAGGTTGGGCAGTGGAGAGGGGGTGAGTGAGTGAGTTGATGGGAACATATGAGTGTGGGAGATAAGGGTACGAGGCATACCCAGGTCATGTGGTGATACGCCTTTGAGAAGTGTAGCAGGGAAGAACAGGGAAGGGCAGGGAAGGGAGGGAAGGGAGGGAAGGGAGGGAAGGGAGGGAAGGGCAGGGAAGAGCAGGGAAGGGAAGGGCAGGGCAGGGAAGGGACAGGAAGGAACAGGGAGTAGCAGAAAGCGAGGTGTCACGAGTGGTGTGCCATGTCTCTCTGCAGGGCCTGCAAGTTTCACGCGTACCGTCTCCCACTTGCCCTTTCGCCTCTCTGCATATCTGCAGTCTGGACTGACTACTACTTATCCTTTGACCATCTGTGCATGCTTGCTTCTGTGCGTCCCGTCTCTTCCCCATGCGTCCCACTCCCACCACCACAGGCAATCCGATCCTGTAGTGGTCTCCCCGGCATGTGATCGTTCGCAGCGATCGCATCACAGCCCTCGAATGGCCCTTGAGAATGCTAAAGAACAAGCATGTGTGTGATGTCTCTTCCCCACGCGTCCCACCGCTGCAGGCAATCCGATCCTGTGGTGATCTCCCCCGCATGTGACCGCAGCGATCGCATCACAGCCCTGGAATGGCTCTACTTCGCCCCGCCTCCCTCCGCCCACACTGCCGCACACACCTCTCCGCGCTCCCCTCCTGCTTCCGCCGCCACTCCCCCTAGCCCGCCCCACTCGTCCTCCTCCCAGCTCCCAGACTCCTCCTCTCAGGCTGACTCTCAGCAGGGGGAACACGATTCTTACCACCAGAATCATGCCCACAGCCAACAGCCGCAGCAGGAGCATCACCAAAACCACCACCACCATCATCATCATCATCATCATCATCATCATCATCATCATCATCATCATCAGCAGCAGCAGCAGCAGCAGCAGCAGCAGCAGCAGCAATCGCTGCTGTGTGTGGCCGTGGGCACGGCTGCTGGCTTCCTCCTTATTTATGCTGACACGGGCGTGCTGCTGGCTCGACAGGTGCGAGTGCGAGAAAGAGTGTCAGAGCGAGTGAGAATGGAAGGAGGGAGTGGGAGTGTTTTCCAGCGTGAGTGCTGGATATTCATCATTTCCAGTGGCAGTCATTTCTCAACAGCTTTGAAGGAGAAACTTGCTCTTGGGGCGGTGTGGTTCCCGTCTTGCCCCCACCCTGTTCCCCCGCCCAACCCCCCCACTCCCCCCAAATCTCCCACTCCCACCAGGTGTCTCCGCTTCTCATCCGTCCACACGCCCCCATTCCCCATCTCAAATCCCCTCCCCTCCTCCTCCTGCCCCACATGTCTCCCCAGATGGTGCACAGGCAGGCGGTGCTGCGGCTGCGGCTTTTGAAGGGCCTCAGTGACCCCTTCCCCACCTCGTCTCGCCCCGTGCCCCTGTGTCCCCATGCCCCCCCAGATGGTGCACACACAGGCGGTGCTGCGGCTGCGGGTGCGGGGCGTGGATTCAGGCATGGTGCGCAACGATGGGTCACAGGAGCTTTCTGTCGTCACCCGCAACGCCACCGCCATCGTTAGCCCCCTGCAACTGCTCGTGCGTTCTCACTCGCTCCCTCTCCTGCTCTCCTGCTCCCCTCCCTCACTTCCTTTGACTCCTCTGTTGCCTCTTCCTTTCACAGTGTCACCCGTTCATCAACCTCTCCTCCGCTTCTCCCCTCCCCTCCCACTTTCCTCTAACCTCGCTTCCCTCTCCCGCCATCCGCACCCCCTCCGTCCCCCACCCTCTCCTCTTCTATGCTTCTATTCACTCCGCCCCGCGATTTCCAAAGCCTCTTCCCTCACTCCCACCCTTGCTTCTCCCAACCTGAAACTGTTGTCCCTCTCGTTCTCCCTTCCCCACCCGTCTCCCTCATTGTCGTCCCTCTTAACCCCCCCTGCCCCCCCTCCCTCTCCACCTGTCCCCACCCCTCCGTACTCACCATTGCACTGCACCCACCCATCCAACCACCCACCCACCCACCCATCCTCCCTCCACACAGCCGCTGCTGCACCGGCGCCTGGAGTCCATAGCAGCAGCGTCTGCCGTTGCCGCTGCTTCCGCTTCCCGCTTTGCATCGGCCTTCAGCTTCATGGGAGGGCCCAAGCGCAGCAGCAGGGAGGAGGAGGCGGGGCATGCCGTGCCCATTCCGTTCCTCAAGTGGCGCACGGGGCTGGGCAGCACAAGGTGGAGCGACGGCGCTGTTGTCGGCATGTTCCCCTCGCCTCTCTTCAACCCCCTGGTGGGATTCTCATTCTCCCCACGTGAAAACCCGAGATCAGGGAGACGCCTTGTGAGGCGCCTCGAAGGATGGTGCTGTAGTTTGCATGTTTTACCCGGTGCCTTTTCAACCCGCAGGTGGGATTGCCACTGGAAGTCAGAGGCTGGATGGGTGGAATGGTGCTGCTTGCTGCCTGTTCGTCTTGCTGTGGTTCCTTGTTCCTTGGTACGCAGGTTGGTGGCTTATGAGTCTGCCAGGTCTCAACTTGTCTGACTGGTATTTTTGTTGCCTCTTTTTTCTACTTCTTCTTCTTTGCCCTATTTTTCCATTTTGTGTGTGTGCCACTGCACTGTTAAACCTCTTCCGGCCTGTTCCCCCTCCTTGCGGATCGCTACGCTACCTTCTGATTGTCCTGTGCAGGCGGCCCTTCAGTCCCTCTGTGTCGTGGCAGTTGGGCAAAACCCATGCATTGCTGCATTCGCGTGAGTATAGAACAGCCTGCTACCCTGACTGACCTCTTCTCTTAAGCATCTGTGGTGCGATCTCCAGAAATTTCTGCCGGTTTCTTCTGTGATTCAACTCAGCTCGACTGTTTTCTTTGTCTGACGCAATCTGTTAGCGTGAAGTCGTTTTTTTGCTATTATCTCCCCTTTTTTCCTCCCCACCACCTCCTTCCCTTACACCCCATCCCCCCACCCTTCAAAGCCACCGAGAAACCAGAGTGATGTCCATTCATCGTCCCTTCCTCTACACCTTGTTTTTTCACACAACTCAAATCTCACTGTTCCTCCCTTCCCTTCCTCCCATCCCGCCCTCCCCGTCCCCCCACCCTTCAGAGCGACAGAGGAGCCAGAGTGGGTGCAGCTAGCAGCGTCGATAGTGTCCTCCTCCGCGCCCTCCAACCCCACGCTCCTCGCTCTCGGCATCGTGCCCCGCATGTCCGTGCAGCTGCAGCGCAAGCTCAGCGGCGTGCTGCTCAATGAGATGGCCGCGGGGGGGGCTGCAGGGGGAACAGCCGCAGGGGGGAAGGGGGACGCTGGTGGGGAAGGTGGAGGGGGAGGCGCAGGGAAAGGGGCGGGTGAAGGGGAGGCGGGAGGGAGAGAAGAGGGAGCAGGGAGTGCCGCAGCAGGAGGAGCAGTGGCTGGTGGCGAGCAGGGGGCGGGAGGGAACAGAATAGGCCGCAGCAGCAGCAGTGGCAGCGGCGGCAGCGGTGGTGGTAGTGGTGGTAGCAGCACTGGGTCTGCTAGTCACAGTGTGGCTCGTTCTGTTTCTGCTGGTCCTACTCATACCAAGTCCAAGCTTCCTCCGTTCACCCCATCAGCATCAGGACACCACCACTCCACACCTCCACTCCCCCCTCTCCACCCCTCTCTACCCTCTGAAGACTACCGCGCATTTGGATTCAACCGGCTGTTCTCCCGTCCGGCCCAGGACGAGCGATCTGAGCCGTTGATCCCGGCAGCAGCGACGGATGCAGGCCGTGCCACGGCGCTAGTGGCGGCGCTAAAAGACCCGCTTAGGAAAGCGACGCACTTAGTGCTGTCGCCCAGGGGGGCTTTAATGGCTGTGGCTGATGGGCTGGGGCGTGTTCTGCTCATGGACTCTCAGATCTTTGCCGTGCTGCGCATGTGGAAGGTTGGTGGGGGTGGAGAGCGGTGGTCGGGGTCGTAAGGGGGTGGTGGCGGGTGGAGAGTGTGGTGGGGCGGTTGTGAGCTGTGGAGTATAGTAGTGCATGTGGTGGCAGGTGGGTTGGTGAGGAGGTGAGTGGGGTGGGCTGTCTGTCGTTTTGTGTGGTCTTGAGGAGACTGAAACGTCTGATAGTCATCTTTCTATCCCTCTCCTCTCTGCCCGTCTCCTCCTCTCCCTCTCCTCTTGCAGGGATATCGAGACGCGCAAGTGGCCTTCTTTGAAGCGCCTGTGGTGGACGTAGTAGGGGCTCACAGCACCCCCACCACCACTGCCACCACCACCACCACCTGCAGCAACGGTGGCAGCAGCGACAGTAGTGGCAACAGCGGCAGCAATATGAATGCGCAACACACCCGCCCCTTCCGTCTGTGCCTTGCCATTTTTGCTCCCAGGAGGGAGACCATTGAGGCGAGTATCCTCTGCCCTGCCCTGCCCTGCCCTGCCCTGCCCTGCCCTGCCCTGCCCTGCCCTGCCCTGCCCTGCCCTGCCCTGCCCTGCCCTGCCCTGCCCTGCCCTGCCCTGCCCTGCCCTGCCCTGCCCTGCCCTGCCCTGCCCTACCCTGCCCTGCCCTGCCCTGCCCTGCCCTGCCCTGCCCTGCCCTGCCCTGCTGCCCTGCCCTGTCCTGCTGCCCTGCCCTGCCCTGCCCTGCCCTGCCCTGCTGTGCCCTGCTGCCCTGCCCTGCTGCCCTGCCCTGCCCTGCCCTGCCCTGCCCTGCCCTGCTGCCCTGCCCTGCCCTGCCCTGCCCTGCCCTGCTGCCCTGCCCTGCCCTGCCCTGCCCTGCCCTGCTGCCCTGCCCTGCCCTGCCCTGCCCTGCCCTGCCCTGCTGCCCTGCCCTGCTGCCCTGCCCTGCTGCCCTGCCCTGCCCTGCCCTGCCCTGCCCTGCCCTGCCCTGCCCTGCCCTGCCCTGCCCTGCCCTGCCCTGCCCTGCCCTGCCCTGCCCTGCCCTGCCCTGCCCTGCCCTGCCCTGCCCTGCCCTGCCCTGCCCTGCCCTGCCCTGCCCTGCTGCCCTGCCCTGCCCTGCCCTGCCCTGCCCTGCCCTGCCCTGCCCTGCCCTGCCCTGCCCTGCCCTGCCCTGCCCTGCCCTGCTGCCCTGCCCTGCTGCCCTGCCCTGCCCTGCCCTGCCCTGCCCTGCCCTGCCCTGCCCTGCCCTGCCCTGCCCTGCCCTGCCCTGCCCTCCCCTCCCCTCCCCTCCCCTCCCCTCCCCTCCCCTCCCCTCCCCTCCCCTCCCCTCCCCTGCCCTGCCCTGCCCTGCCCTACCCTGCCCTCCCCTCCCCTCCCCTGCCCTGCCCTGACCTGCTGCCCTGCCCTGCCCTGCTGTTTAGTGCTCGCTGCTTGCTGCCAGTGTCATACGATCTCCCACTTTCCCCCTTCCATCACCCCTCATTATCCCCGCTCCTGCCCCACTATCATCTTCCAAGACGCACCAAAAGTCCAGTTTGAAAATTCTCAGACGTTGGCCCTTTTGTCTTTCCCCCTTAACCCCCACTTTCCTCTCCTTATGTCCGCTCCCGCTTACCCCGTTCCTCCCTTACCTCCCTCCCTCCCCACCCCTCTCCCCGCCGTTCCTCCCCTGACGTCCCTCCCTCTTCCCGTCTCCCCACCTCTCCCACCCTCTTCCCACCTGTCCCCTCTCCCCACACCACCCACCGCCAGGTATGGCAGCTGATAACAGGCCCTCGCATCGCAGCCCTGCGCTGCAGCACCAACACGCGCCTCATGCAGCCCTCCCTGGGCTTCGTAGTGCCCGCGCACGCACCCACCCACTCCCAGCTGCAGCTGCCGAACAGCAACTTGGATTCCAGCCCCAGCCTTGGGTCTACCTCTAGCATGACTGCCAGTGCAAGTGCAAGCCCAAACGGCAGGGTGGATGGGGTAGGGGTGGTGGTGGTGGAGCAGCGGCACAGGGCGTTTGTGCTGCATGGGTCTTCCGGGCTGCTCATGGAGCTCATGCCCACCATCTCCCTCGCTGGCGAGTATGTCCCTGCCTCCCGTTCCCCGTCTCCATCCCCATCCCCATCCCCATCCCCATCCCCATCCCCATCCCCATCCCCATCCCCCTCAGCCCCATCTCCATTACCATTTCCATTTCCATCCCTGTCTGTCTCCAAGTCGACTAAGAGTTGTCTGTCTTTGTCTCTCTCTCTGTCTCTCTCTCTGTCTCAATCTCTCTGTGTAGATACACCCTGCCGCCATAGAGCTGCTCAGGCGAGACAGGAGGGCGCAGGAGGCTACGCTGTTCCCCAAGCCAAGCACATACCCACCGCATGACTCCCCATGCATTTCTCTCCCCCATACCCCTCCTGTCCCCCTGTAGGCTGGTGGGTGCAAGCAAGCCGGCAGGGCAGGCAGCGCTGCTATCCCAGGCGGACATATTCCAGCGGCTGTGCGACCTGCTCAAGCCCAAGCACCGCTTTAAGGACGCTGCCCTCGCCGCTGCCAGAGAGCTCTTGAGGCGAGAAAGGAGGGCGCGCGTGGGCACACCGTTCCCCATGCTCATCCCTTCACCCAATGTACCTGTCGCCCCACGCATTCCCCCCCACCCCCCACCCCGCCACCCCTCCTTTCCCCCACCCCATATCCCTCCCGTCCCCCTGCAGGCTGGTGGGTGCAGGTAAACCCTCAGCGCAAGCAGCGCTGCTATCCCAGGCGGACATATTCCAGCGGCTGTGCGACCTGCTCAAGCTCAAGCACCGCTCCAAGGACGCTGCCCTCGCCGCTGCTAGGGAGCTGCTCCGGCGGGCCAGGAGGGCGCGTGTGGGAGCGCGGGTGAAAGGAAGGCCTGGTAGGGTGGGTGCAGTGGAGGAGAGGGTGGATGACGTGGATGGGAAGGTGGATGGGAGGGTGGATGAGGTGGCGGAGAGGAAAGTGGTGGATGGTAGTGGGACTGATGCTGGTGCCGATGGCAGTGGCAGTGGTGGTGGTTGTCGTGTTGACGGTGATCATTGGGGGCCAAGTGCGGGGTCAGGAGCAACGAGTGAAGGCCAGAAGGACACGGATGGTGATGCAACGCAGAAGGGTAGTGGTGACAGCAACGGGGAGAAAGAGGAGGAGAAGGAGGAGGAGAAGGAGGAGGAGAAGGAGGAGGAGAAGGAGGAGGAGAAGGAGGAGGAGAAGGAGGAGGAGAAGGAGGAGGAGAAGGAGGAGAAGGAGGAGAAGGAGGAGGAGAAGGAGGAGGAGGCGCAGGGGAGGGGGCCAGAGTTGGAGGAGGAAGAGGAACAGGAGGAGGTGGAGGAGGAGGTGGAGAGGTGGGGGGAGGTGGGAAGCCAGCAGTGGGAGGAGAAGGTGGTGGGAGTGCTGCTGGCTGGCCTCACTTCTCCCTTTCGCAAGCTGCAGGTGCACACTTGTTATCTCCCTCTACCGCTCCACCCCCCACCCCCCACCTCTCTCCCTCTCTCCCCCCCCCACACACACACTCATTCTCTGTCAACTCCCTATAAGAATTGTTACCCTACCCCTAGCGCAAAAGCCCATGGAAACATTTTGAGGATTCGAAGGTCTTGCAAGTCCTTTCAACTAGTGTGGGTGGCCCAATTGGCTCCATTACGCATTGCATACAGATTGAAAGAGAGGGTTAACAAAACCAGCCCCCGTTCGCCCTCCTCTCGCTGCACCCATCCCCACCCACTCCCACTCTCTCCCAACCACCCCCCAGGTCCTTGACTTGCTAATTGCGAGCCGGCCGTCCCTCTCAGCTAAGTGTCACTTAGCCATACTGGAAGATGTTCTATGCACGTTAGAGGTCTCCCTAGCTGTCGCTCATCTGCCTCCCCCCGAACTTCCCCGCCTTGCGGACATAAGCGAGGGTGGGGGAGAAGGGGGCGGGTCTGAGGGCGTGGAGGGGGGTGGCGGAGTGAGGAAGGAAGAGGAGGGGGGGAAGGTTGGAGGGAGCAATGGGGGAGCGGCGAGTGAGAATGATTCAGGTGTGGCGACGGGTGGCAGTGGTGCGGGCATAGGTGGGGATAAGAAGGCTGGGCTAGCAATGAGTGAAGTGGATGAGTCAGGAAGTAAGGACGGAGAGAGGGAAGGGGAAGCGAAGGAAGGGGGAACAGTAGCTTCAAGTGATAACTCAAGCGTTGCTGCTCCAGACGCTGCTGCTGCTGCTGCCTCTGAAACCGCCTCTGCGGCTGCTGCTGCTGATACAGCAGCAGCACCTGCAAAGAAGAGTTGGTGGGGGTCTCTCACGTCTGCATGGAAACAACCAGTGGAGCAACCGCAGCAACAGCAAGCGACAGCTGGCAAAGACGGGTATGAGCTGCTGCCTCTGGTGACAGAAGGTGGAGAGAAAGAGGATTCAGAGAAGCCGGCGGGAGAGAATGGAGTGGATGAGAGAGTGGGTGATGGGGCAGGGGAGAACAGGACTGGGGAGACGGAGAAACGGGGAGAGGGAGAAGCGGAGGGGGGCGATGAGACGAGTAAGGTGGCCCGAGGGGAAGGTGAGAAGGGCGGGGAGGAGGCACGTGGGGTGGTAGGAGGCAGGGCGGCAGCGGCGGCGGCGGTTCAGAGTGAGTGGTTGAGAGGGGTGGATGTGAGCAGGGTGAAGAGAGTGGATGACAAGTTTGTTCCGTTTCTGGAGCAGCGTGCGCGTGCCCTGCGGTTCCAGCACCTTCTCGTGGAGGTATACCTGCAACTGGAGAACGAAGCTTCTGCCACTGCTGCTGCTGCTGCTGCGGCTGCTGCGGCTGCGGCTGCAGCTGCGGCTGCTGGTGCTGATGGTGTAGGGGATGTTGACGGTGCTGGTGATGGGGGAGGGGAAGTTGGTGGGGGGAGGAAGGGGGAGGAGGGCGACAGGAAGTCGAGGAGAGGGGTGTCTCTGGACGGGACAGGCTTCTGGCGAAGGCTTCCTGCGCCTGAACTGAGGACCACGGATACGGACAGAGAGGAGGAGGAAGAGGAAGAAGAGGAGGAGGACGAGGAGGAGGAGGAGGAGGAGGAGGAAGAGGAGGGCCAGGAGGGGAACACAGACAGCTGGAGCGTGCAGGCGAGGGGGCCGACAGGGGCGCTGACCGATGCAATCGATGCCAGAGCAGGCAGCTGCAGCAGCACGGGCAGAGCGGCAAAGGGCAAGAGGATCCGTAGGAGGTCGATGAGCGATATGGAGGCGGCACTCACGGTCTTCCGCGCCCGGTACGAGGCTCTGGTTGCTGATGTGGGCGCGTGGATTGCTGGCTGTGCCGTGGAGTCCCAGCTGAACAAGCTCTGGATGGAAGGAGAGGATGAGCAGACGAAAGCCCTGGGAGAGGAGGCTTCTGGTGGCAAGGGCACGGGGGTTGATGGTAGTGGTGGTGGTGGCGGCATTGGAGGGATGATAAGTGGAATTGGGGGGATTAGCGGGATTGGGGGGCTGGGAGAGGCGATTAGTCGGAGTGACAGCGGCGGTGGTGGCGGTCCGGTGGGTGCGATCAGCCGCAGCAGCAGCAGCGCGAGTCAGATGATGGAAGAGTTTGGCAGCAGCAACAGCAGCATAGGCAGCAGCAGCAGCAGCAGGAGCCACAGCACTACGACTTCTGCTGCCACCAGTCCCAAAGCCTCCGCCCTCTCATCTGCTGCTCAACGCCCGTTTGCATCTATGTCTGCCCGCTCGCTCGCCGCTGCTGCAGCGGCGGCTGCTGCGGCGGCTATGCAGGGGACGTCTGGGGAGCATGTGCCGTGTGTCATGTTTGTGCGGTCCTTTGCCTTTGACCTCACGCGCAGCCCCTACTGCCACCCTGCTGCTCTAACAGCGCCCGTAACTGCTGCTGCTGCTGCTGCTACAACAGCTGCTGCCGGTGCTGCTGCTGCTGCTGCCACTGCCGGCGCCGGTGTGTCTCACGGGGCTGACAGGGCGCTGAGCATTCAGAAGAGGGTGAGGGTGCGGTGGGGAGCAGGCACAGACCACTCCAACCTCCCCTCTGGAGCCTCCTCCCCTGCGTGCACCCCCTCCACCACTCCCTCACCTGCCGCCTCTTCTCCGTCCTCCGCCTCTGCCCTTTCCTTTGTGCCCTCCGCGTGTGCCCCTGCTCCTCTCCCCACCGCAAGAGCAGCATCACCAGCGCCGTCCCAGCCAGATCCCCGGCGTGGCTCGGGTGTTATCTGGCTCTGCCGAGCGGCAGATGTGGACGAGTTAGCCGCCCTGGCTAGATTCTTTATGGGGAGAATCTCCCATGGGACGGCAGGGCTAAGAACTTTGCTCTCAGCCATGCACAGGCTAAGGCTTCCGAGGGAGGATTGGCAGTGTCTGTTTCTGGTCTGGCTGCGCTCGGTTCCTGTTCAAGACATCCTGACCGTCGATCTCCCGGTGCTGGTCGAGGTGGTCCGTCGGATCGGATGCCGGCGGGAGGAGGTGGAAGGAAGGAAGACGGCGAGAGTGGTGTTTTCGCGGGGGAGGATGGGAGGGAGGAATAGAGGAGGGGAGAGTGGGAAGCGAGGGGAGGGAGGCCTGGAGGGGGGTCTCTCTAACAGTGTGCCCCCGGGGGGAAGGTACCCGTTGCTGTTTAGCTGGTGCCAGGTAACCGGGGCTGCTGCCAAGGCTCTGTTTCTGGCTCGGATCTGCACTCAGGTGATAAAGGAGGAGCTGCTGGATACCATACCTGGACGAGAGCCTCAGAAGGGGACAGGCACGGCACGGCAGCAGCAGCAGCAGCAGCAGGCATCAGGGGGGGCGCGGGAGGAGGATGAGCATGGAGGAGTGGCTGGTGGTGGCCGGAGTGGGTCTGGCAGGCTGATTGTGGCTCCTCCAAAACCTAAAGATAATGATCTGTGGATTGAGGTGAGCTTTTTCTATCTCCTACTCCCACCAGCACCGACTGAAGCAATGGCTGCACCGCACTGCACCTATCAGGCCGAGTCTATTCTGGAGCGCCTTGAAACCAGACACCTCCATACCCATCCCATTTCACCCGCTGCCCTCTTCCCCAGCACGGACTGGAGCAACGGCTGCACCTATCAAGCCACGTGGAGGATGCATGGTTGCAAGGCCAAGCCGAGTCATCATCTATTTCTGAGGCACCTAATAGAAACACCTCCTCACCCATCCCATACCACCCTCTTCCCCCCCCCAACCAGCACGGGCTGGAGCAATGGCTGCACCTGTCAAGCCACGTGGAAGACGCATGGTTGCTCGGCCGAGCCATCATCCACGTCTGCAAGCTCTCCTCTGCCCGAGGCTATCCGGTTCGGCAGGGCCGCCTGCCGTCCGCAGCTGAGGTCCCCACCTTCCCCGTGCCTCTCTGGGTGGCTCGGTTGCAGCTGCTGCTGTCCCCTTCCGCTCTATTCACGTCTCAGTTGCACCGAGCTCTGCTGAAAGTGGAAAGACCCGAGCTGGTGAGGGAGATGGCAAATGAGATGGTTGCACAAGTGAGGGTGGTGGAAAGAGGGAGAGGGGAGGAGGGGTTGGAGAGAGGGAGTGGGGGAAGCAGTGCTGGTGGTGGTGGGGAGGGGAAGCTGGGTGGTGGGGAAGGTGGTGGGAAGGGAAAGAAGGATAGGAGGAAGGTCAAGGGCAGGACAGCAGGAGGGGACGGGCCTAAGGGCGTGCATGGGGAGGGAGGGGCACTGAAGGGAAGTTTGGTTTCGGATTGGGAAGTGGAAAAGGTGGATGGTGAGAAGGTTGAAGGGCGGGAAGCTGAAGAGGCAGCAGAGAAAGAGGAGAAAGCGGGAGAGGAGGAGAACGACGAGGGGGAGGACGAGGAGGGGGAGGACGAGGAGGAGGATGATGATGAGGATGAGGCAGCAGAGGCAGAGGAGGAGCGGCAGAGGGAGGACGAGAGGGAGTCGGTGCAGCTGCTGCGCGAGATGCTGGACCGGTTTCCCGAGAGCTGCCATGCCGACATCTTGGCGTCGCACCGAGCCATGGAGCTGTGTCGCCAGTGGTCCACTGCCTTCTTCCAGAGCGTCAAAGCTGCCCATGTGCCTCCCAAACCGCCTGCCTGTGCGCCGGCTGCTGCCTCTGCTGTTACTGCTGCTGGTGGTGGTGCTGGTGCAGTTGCAGGAGCAGCCGGTGGGGCGGTTGATGGAGAGACTCCAGGTCGTTTGTCTGCAGAGGCAGCAGGGGCAGAGGGCGCAGCAGCAGCTGCTTCTGCTGCTGCTGCTGCTGCTGCTGCTGCTGCAGAGGGTGGTAGTAGTGGCAAGGCAGAGGGCGACAAGGAGAAGGAGAAGAATGGCGGTGCGAAGCAGAAGAAGCTGGAAGGCGCGGAAGGCAGGAACGGGCCGGGGTTGTCGATGTCGCTAGGAGGCTACGATGCAGAGCCCAGCGACCTGCTCTTCTTCTCCCACGAGCATGTGTCCCCGCTGCCCACGGTTGCACTCAAGGGCGGCATGGTCTGCTCCATGTGGCAGTCCCTCATTGGCCAGCGCGCAGCCTCGGCAGTGGCCCTGGTGCAGAGGCTCGGGAGGTGCCCGACGGATGCGGAGTGCGAGCAGTCACTGGGTAGGTCTCCGTGTTTGGACATTTGGCCCTCCGTTTTCTTTCCTTAATTCTTCCGAGAAGGGGATGAAGGGGATGGGGTTGGGGTGGGTTGCGCCCTATGCCCCTAGCCCCTTGATTAAGACATCCCGTGAGGCACCTCCAGGGTTGTACTTTCAAACTCCTTTCCTGCCTCTCCGTGTCTCAACTCTCGCCCCGCTCTCCATATCCCCTCCTCTCTCCCACACCTCAAACACACTCCCCTCCTTCCTCCACCCACCCTCCTCCCCGCGCCAGGCATGGGCAGTGAAACCACAGCAGAAGCAGCGGGCGCGGTGGGAGCATACGAGCAGATGCTGGTGCTGCTCTACGACTGCACACTCCTCCTTGAGTATGGGGACGGGGCAGACGAGCACTCAGCCAGCCACGATGCATTTGTCTCAGCACACGACTCCATGTGCCGGGAGGCCATATCGGATTTCAAGCAGGCGCCGCCGTCAGCAGAGACGCTGCATGCATACATGCTGCTGATCCGCACCATCGGGGTGTCTCTTGCGCTGGATGTTCCTGTGGTGCCTCTTGCGTCTATGTTTCCGCCCGCGCTGCTCTCTGGATTTCCCGCGCTTTTCCTGGTGAGCTGGTGCTGCTGCCGCTGCTGCTGCTGGTGCTGGTGTGTGTGGTTCCAGGTGGTTCGCTTGAGAATTCTTGTTGCAAAGAGTTCTCAACCAAACCATGTCATCACATCCATGTCATCACATCCATATAATCACATCTATGTCATCACGTGCATACCATCAAAACCCACTCCCCGCCGCCGCCCGCCCCCCACTCCCGCCAACAGACTCTTCAGCCAGATGATTCAGCTTCAGTGACAAAGCGCACAGAAGCGCGGCTGGAGTTCCTTCTCGCTGTGCTGGCCGCACAGAAGCGCCGGGCTCACCTCATGGCTAATGCTGATGCTGCATTGAACAAGCTCACTCGCCGCTCGGAGCATTTACGAGTCTATCAGCGGCGATATGCATCCACGTCTGCCTTTGCTTTGGCAGAGGATCTAGGGGTTCCCCATCAGGAGCTTGAGCGGCGGCACCATATCCTGAATTTCCTTTAGCAGCCGATAAGTGATTCGTGGTTCATGGGTTCTGAAGGTTTCGAGTACAGTAGTACGGTAATATTGAGAAAGCTTGCTTTCTTATTTTTATCAATTGGCATCGTTCTCATTACAACTGGCTTATTACAACATTTGCATCGAGATTAAACACAAGCTAGTGCATGCTGATATCATTAGCTACCCTAAACCCTATCCAAGTGGCATTAGCAAGACGTTCTACACCGGGGTGGGTGGTGGGAATGTTGAGTGAGCCGTTTGAAATAGAGAAACATGGGTGGAGGGAAATGAGCTCCAACCCACAGTTTTTGTAGTTGGAGAAGGGTGTTTAGCGCACTTCGACGATGCCAATTGTGCAGTACGAGCAGCTTCGCTTTCACAATACACAATTTTAAAAAACACAATGTGTGTTTAAAAATTATAATATTTAGGAAGGAAACACTGCAGTTTTGCAAGCTCACTCCTGCTTTCAGAAGAGTTGAGTCTTTACGGTTGGTTTCGTCATAGTCTCACCACCTCTGATCAACGTGAATTTTGGTGTACGAAGTCTTGGAAACATTCTCTAGCCCAGGGACGTACTGTAATAAACTGACAACGCCCCATACCATTTAATACCGTATGTTTATTTTTACAGGTGAGCTGTACAATCTTTTCAGATTTAGTTGTTGTTAGGCCCGACGGCCTAAGTCCGCTAAAGAATTAGCGGGGTCGACTAAGTCGAGGATGAAACGCGGCGGAAGACTTTGGCGAAAGAACTATTGGCGAAATAGGCGAAGAAGTTACTGAGTAATTGAAGAAGAGTTGAATGAGAATTGATTGATAATGGCAAGTACAAGCAAGGTTTATATAGCATGCAAGAAACAAGGTTGGAAAGTGGAATGTGGGACCAAGAATTGGAGTGCAAGAAAAGTAGAGTGCCACGTGGCACTAGAGAATCTGAGAAGATAAGGATAATGGTGACTAGGAATGTACTGTTTGGAATGAACAGTAAACACCCCTCTAACACTACCCCCCGCCCAAGGAGGCGACGTCCGCGGCGCCTGCAGACTGAAGGTACGCTTGGAGGCAAGCGTTGTCAGGAGACAGCGAGGACGAAGGAACCCAGGTGTCGTCTGCTGCGTCGTAACCACGCCAACGAACCAAGAAGTCGATGAAAGTGACACCCCCCTGGAGACGGCGACGGTGCCTGAGGATGCGCTGGATCTGGTAGTCGGGCTCGTCGGTGTCAACAGCTACCGGCAGTGGAGTGCGATCACGGCCCGAGAAGGTGGCATTGGGATCGGTGTATGGGCGAAGGAGAGACACGTGGAATGACGGGTGCATGCGGAAATGTGCGGGAAGGCGAAGGCGGTATGCGACTGGACCTAGTGCGCGCTCAATGACGAATGGACCAATGAAACGTGGACGAAGCTTGTTGTCCTGTGGCAGTCGGAGGTTGCGGCTATCCAAGAGAACACGGTCGCCGACTGCGAACGACACCTCACGACGACTGCGGTTGGTGGTGCGTGCCATGCGTGCATTTGCGAGCTCAAGGTGCTTCCTCACGTGATCATGAATGAAGGTGAGATGCTGGTGGAAGTTGTCCGCACGAGGGACTGTGGGTGTGAGATCGACACGAGTGGGGACATTGGGGTGCTGACCGTAAAGTGCAAAGAACGGTGACATGCCTGTGGCGGAGTGGTGCGTGTTGTTGTAGGCGAACTCTGCCATGCTCTGCTTCTTGTCCCATGCGGCTGCGTCGTGCATCATGATGCTGCGAAGGATCTGCTCCAAGGTCTGGTTCACACGCTCGGTCTGTCCGTCTGTCTCTGGGTGGTACGCAGACGACATGGCTAAGCGAGTCCCAAACAGTGCGAAAAGCTGCTTCCAGAACTTCGAAGTGAAACGAGGGTCGCGGTCTGAGATGATGGAATCCGGAACCCCGTGCAGTCGGACTACGTTATCTACGAGCAGCGTCGCGGCTTCCTGTGCTGTGACCTTGCCGTGCGTGGGGATGAAATGCGCTGCTCGAGAAAACTTATCCACTACTACGAAGATGGCGTCGTGACCCCTAACTGTGCGCGGTAAAGCCATGATGAAGTCCATGGTAACTACCTGCCAAGGGCGGTCGGGCGGTGGAATCGGCTGCAAGAGTCCTGCTTTGCGCTGGCGAGAGGACTTCGTACGCTGACACGTGTCGCACGAGCGAATGTAATCCTCTACGTCTGCTGCAAGCCCGGGCCAGTAGTACGTGCGACTAAGCGTCTTAGCCGTCTTATCTGCTCCGAAGTGCCCTGCACTAACTACGTCGTGCGCCTCTGAGAGAAGGAGCTGTCGAAGAGGGCGGTAGGCTGGAACCCAAATCCGTGTGGTACCCTTCCGTATGTAGACACTACCCTGCACCTCTGCTCCTGCGGGCGGCTGCGGTGTGAAGTCGGGATCTACTGTGTAACCGTGCTCGAAGAATGCTGTGAGAAGTGGGTGGCCAGCAGTGACTGTGAGACTGGCGAGCTGACAACTAGGGCGAGTGAGCGGATCTGCTGGGCTGCGCACGCCTGGCTTGTACTCTATCCTGTAGTGAAAGCTCCCTTCCATGAACTCCATCCACCTAGCCTGGCGACGACTCAGCTGCGGCTGCGACTTGAGGAAACGAAGCGAACAGTGGTCCGTGCGTATAACACTATCTGCCCCCTCTAGGTAGCACCTCCACACCTTATACGCATGGATGATCGCGAGCGCCTCCTTGTCGTGTATGGGATAGTTCAACTCCGCTCCCCTAAGCTTACGCGACTCGTACGCGATCGGCTGCAACCCGCGTCCCTGGTCCTGAAGAAGCACTGCTCCTATGGCCTGATCGGAAGCGTCGGTCATTACAACGTATGGGCGAGTGGGATCAGGGTACGACAGTGTCGGTGAAGACGTGAGCGACTGCTTCATCTGCTCGAACGCCTGCTGCTGCGCTGGACCCCAAACGTACTCTACGCCCTTCCGAAGTAGGTCGGTGAGTGGACTAGCGATCGATGCGTAACCCTGAACGAAACGACGGTAGTAGTTCGCGAAACCGAGGAAGCTCTGCAACTCCTTGACAGAGGTCGGTGCTACCCAATCCTGTACTGCTGCGATCTTCTTCGGGTCAGTCCTAATGCCACTAGCGGATACGACGTGTCCTAGGAACTCGACCTCTGGAAGGAAGAACTCGCACTTCGACTGCTTAGCGTATAACTGCTCTCTCCGTAAGACCTTGAAGACCTTCTGCAAGTGCTGCACGTGCTCATCTTTCGTCTTAGAGAACACTAGGATGGCGTCTAGGTAAACGACAACGAACGACCCTAGGAACTCGGAGAGGACTGTGTTCATGAGCGTCTGAAACGTCGCTGGGGCGTTGGTCAATCCGAACGGTAGAACCCTAAACTCGTACAACCCCTGCTTCGTACGAAACGCCGTCTTGTGCTGGTCCTCTGGAACTACTCGAATCTGGTGGTAACCCGAACGAAGGTCGATCTTTGAGAAGACTCTAGCGCCCTGCAATGCATCGAGAAGATCCTCTACTCTCGGCACCGGGAATCTATTCTTGACGGTGGCGGCGTTCAGTGCGCGGTAATCTATGCACATCCGTAACCCTCCGTCTTTCTTGGGTGCAAAAAGTATCGTTGCGGCCCAAGGCGATCTAGATGGCTGTATGAAACCCTGTGCGAGAAAGTGCCTAACTTGCTGCGTCATCTCCTCTGTCTCCGCTGGACTCAACCTCCACTGCGGCTTCGCTACTGGCCTGCTCCCCGGCTCCAATTCTATTCGATGGTCTACTGCTCGGCTGGGAGGCAACCCTGGGGGCAACTCGTCGGGGAAGACGTCTGCGAACTCTGCTAACAGTGGACTCACCTCAGCAGGAAGAGTCGCCTTCTCACTAACTGCTGCACTCCCTCCTTTCCCCTCCTCAGCTTCCACCTCCTCAAGAAAAACCGCGAAGATCCGTGCCGCACGCTTCACTAACTGTCGCACACGAACAGCATTAATGATAGCTGTGGATGATGTGGCCCCATCGCTCCACTGTGGCAGCTCCCGGAACTCCCCGTCTACCTTGACGCTGCAGCTTCCCTGAGCCCAATCGAACTGAGTATTAAGCGTCCGTAGCCAATCTCTCCCGAAGATAAAATCGTATCCGTCCAGCGTCGCAGAGTCGAAATCACGCCTGACTGTGATCGGTCCTAGCACTACGCGCAACTTGCGGATGATCGGTCCTATGTGAAGTGGCGTCCCATCTACCATGCGAGCGTCCTTGAAGTTGACTGCTGAATCTGCTTCGAGATGGAGACGAGAAACTAACGATGAAGAGACGAACGAGTGGCTAGCTCCGCTATCTACGAGAATCTTAACAGGAACTCCGCGAAGCTTCCCTAGAAGCACGACTGGACGATCAACAGTGTCTACCCCGTTCTCCGTAGATGACTGCTGCAAAGCCGTCTCCTCTACGTTGGTAGACGTGGCGGGTACGGGAACCTCCACACCAGCTAGCGACCCGCTATCTACTGGCGGTTTCCGTTTCCCTGCTGCCGCTCCTTAAGCTGTGGGCAGTCTCGCTTCATGTGTCCCGGCTTTTTGCAGTAGTGACAGTTCCCCCTAAATCCTATTTTCTGTGAGCCGTCACTGTTAACTGCACCAATCTCCATGGGCGATGGTCCGTCCCTCGATCGAGCGTCGTTGATCGGTCTGTTGTATCCCCTATCGCGATCGTTACGACCCCGTCGGCTTCGTACTGCGTCGACGCGTTTTGCTGCTGCGGCCACCGACTCGAAGGTGGACAACCCGTGAATCGCAATGACTTTCGCTATGTCCGGCTTCAACCCTTCGAGGTAGCGATCGCGCATCTCTGCTTCCGTGATATCGTCTATCTCGTTGCAGATGCTCAAGAACCGTCGTGTGTACTCCTGGACGTTGCCTATCTGTCAGAAATGACGCAGACGCTTCCTAGCAGCTTCGGAGGCGTTCACCAAATCGAACCTACTTTTCAGCGCCGCTTCAAATCCTTCCCATGTGGTCGGAACCATGGTAACACCCAAAGCTAAACTCCCTAAGCTCGAAGTTGCAGCTGCATGCCCCACGCCCTGTTGATGCCCGTCCGTCTGAGCCCTTCTTACAGCAGTTTGAGTGAGTTGGCGCCACCACTCCAAGGCCGGGCCCCTCAGCAGTGTAACAGCGTACTCGATCCGCTGCTGCGCGTCCGCCTCTTGCACGTCGTTCGCGGCGAAGTAGTTGTTCAGCATGAAGAGCCACGTCCGCACGTTCGTATCGCGTTGACTTGGGTCGAACGACTCGGGTTTCTGCGGCTTGAGTGCGCTTCGACGTTCCGGCAACGCTTTCGCGCCAGTCGACGTGTTGGGTGCAAGAGTTGGTGTGGCATGACCATGGGGGTTAGAAGCCAATTCACGAAGCTGTTGCATTTCAGCTCGTACCTGTCGATTTTCCAGCGTCAACTCTTGAAGTTGGCGCATGAGTTCGGCAAGCGTGTTGCCCATGTCGTGGGGGACTGCGTGCATGGTTTCGTCCATGTTCGCTCAACGACTCCAAGTCTGCAAGTCGGCACCGCGGGACGATGACGTCGTAGTCTCGTCGTCGACGGTCGCTCGTTGGAAGTCGCTCCCCGCGAAGGCTCTGATACCAAGTGTTAGGCCCGACGGCCTAAGTCCGCTAAAGAATTAGCGGGGTCGACTAAGTCGAGGATGAAACGCGGCGGAAGACTTTGGCGAAAGAACTATTGGCGAAATAGGCGAAGAAGTTACTGAGTAATTGAAGAAGAGTTGAATGAGAATTGATTGATAATGGCAAGTACAAACAAGGTTTATATAGCATGCAAGAAACAAGGTTGGAAAGTGGAATGTGGGACCAAGAATTGGAGTGCAAGAAAAGTAGAGTGCCACGTGGCACTAGAGAATCTGAGAAGATAAGGATAATGGTGATTAGGAATGTACTGCTCGGAATGAACAGTAAACACCCCTCTAACAGTTGTTCTTTTCCGACAGCACCCTGGGAATGTCGAACCATGCATCCGCGACAGCTCGTGCAAGCGGATAGCGGAGATGTTTTCTTCGCTGTGCTGGATTCGCATTGTATTGCATGGGGCAAGAAAACAAGAACCAAGAGCGAGGTCAAGAAGACAGGCAGAGAAACAAGCACACCAGACCAGCAGAGCACACCGCACTCCCATATTCAATCACTATTCGCTCGTGCCTGCCAGCCCTGCTGCGTCCGCACGCGACGGAAGCGTCATGCACGGAGAGCTTCACGGTGCCTGAAAGGAGTCTCGACCTCTCCAAACATGCCTGAAAGGCAGCAGCTGCCAGCTTCTCATACATATCCCCCATTTCTTGCCTGAAAGGAGTTCCAAGCGCCTTACTACCCCCCTTCCTTGTCTGGTCATCAACCCGTGCTGCAAACACTGGTGTCCAACGTGGTCCGTCCGTCCGTCCGTCCGTCCGTCCGTCCGTCAGTCAATCCGTCCGTCCATATATATCGCTGGTGGTGCTCAGAAAGCAGTACCAAGCACACACGGAACACACAGCTCCGAGTGACAACTGCGTTCATGTCTTGCCACGTGTCCGCGCTCTCAGCGCATCCTGCGTGTCCTGCTTCATGCAGCCTCCCCCCTCGTCCCTCGTCGTGTCGCGCGCAGTTTCAAGCTTGCGCGACTCGTCTCGCATCGCGCTCGCCGTGTTTCTCGTGCTGCTCCAGTCGTCGTAAAGAGCGCACTGTTCGCAGCGGCTCGGACTCGAATTATTTCGCGCAAATTAGAACTGCGCGAGGCGAGACAGCTGCAAATCTCATACGAATTACTCTCCAGTATTCGAGTACTACTAATAGTACATTTGCTAGTCTACATGTGAGTCGTCCTACGTCTGCTTCTTTCAGTCGACCATTAACGCCATCTTCGGAAAGGTGGTTATCTCCAGCCCTGCCAGACTCTCCCACGCCTCGTCTGCCGCGAGAAACGACGGCGAATCTTTGCGTTCACGCCACAGCTGAGGCCGCGACGTGGAGCCACAGCCTGCCACGTGTCCACGGAACCATTAAAGCTTGCCGCCAGGAGCGCTCGTCATTACCGTCGCAGTCCGCCGTGCCACGTCTGCGGCAGTTTGACCCGCGAAATTGCGCCTCAGTTGTGGCGTCTGGATTATTGAACGCACAGAAGTTGTGGTTTCGTGGCGGCGGTCTGGAAAGGTTGGAGTCGTATAAAGGCCGTGTGCAAGCACTTGGCGGCGGAGGTGGTGACTGTAACGCGGAGGCAAAGGAGCCTATAACAGGAGCTGCAGAAGGAAGGAGTCAAGAGGAATTGCCTATTACCAGCAGGAGTGCTGACGCTGGTACTCTTGACAGTGACAGCACCAGCAGTACCACCACCAGTAGTAGTAGCACCACCACCACCAGTAGCAGCAGCAGCAGCAGCAGCAGCAGCAGCAGCAGCAGCAGCAGCAGCAGCAGCAGCAGCAGCAGCAGTAGCAGCAGCAGGCAGGAGGGGAATACTCCGAGCAGCGTATCCCCTGCAGCACCCAGCAACTCCCAGGAGAGTGATTCAGGCGACGGGGCAATCGACCCAGCACACGTGGCGTGGCTGCTGAGAATCCGCCCCTCTGCTACCACCGCCAGCCCTGACAGCTTCAGCAGCAGCTACAGCTACAGTGGTGGTGCTTTCAGGCCCAGGTCCCGTTCCTCTCTTAGCAGCAGCAGCAGTGAAAGAAGCAGCAGCATGGCTTCTGGGCAGCTAGGCCGGTCTCAGGTGGAGCTAGTATCATACCTGGAGCGCATCGGTGTGCTGCGCAGGGGGGGGCAGTCCCGGGCGGCTCAGGTGATGCGTCAGGTGGACCGCGGTCTGTTTGTTCCACCTGGCCCGTGGGTGCACGCGTATCAGGACTCGCCCCAGACCATAGGCTTCAACGCCACCATCTCTGCCCCGCACATGCACGCCCAGTGCCTCGAGCTCCTGGAAAATCACCTGCAGGTGAAATGTTTGCTTGTCTTCATGCATGGAGCACGTTCAGGTGAGGAGCACGCTCAGGTGTGGAGCACGTTCAGGTGAGGAGCACGTTCAGGTGAGTTTCGACTGTAAGTGGTCCGAAACTTTCTGCTATGGGTATGTTACTCTTGGTTCAATCTGCCGCCTAAGGTTAGGAGCCACAGGGAGGTGTGCACACAGAGGTGCGTATGACACTCCAGCGAGCGTTAAGCAACACACACACAGCACTTCAGCACCCTGTCACCTCTCCCTGAAAGTGACCAGGAGGTGTAGACAATGTGGTAAGCGACAGTTGGCACACCTGTCACCTGTCCCTTCACCTCTTTCTCGTCTCTCGCATCTCCCCACCTGTCGCCTTACTCCTCTCCCACCACTCCCTCCATCCCCTCAGTGTGTGGTTGTTTCCTCTCTGTCGCTGCTCACCCCACCCCACTCCTGCCTCACCAGCCGGGAATGCGAGCTCTGGACGTGGGGTCGGGAACGGGCTATCTCACAGCGTGCTTTGGCCTGCTACTGGCACCCACGGGGAAGGCCGTGGGGGTGGAGCATATACCAGGTGTGCTGGCCAGCTGCTTTTCTCTGCGTGGGGTATTGAGTCGACTCGAAAAACAGGGAAATCTGTGAAAGTAGCGCTTATACCAGCTGTGCTGGCCTCTTGATCTTCACTTTGTGCCTAGCCGCGTAGCTATGTCTTGCAGCTCTGCTGTAATGTTTTAAATAATGTTAGGAACGGGGCGGAACGTGGTTGTACTGTGACATGCTCTGTGTATGTGCACGCTGTGTCCATTCTCTAGGTGTGGTTTAAAGTGCTCGGTCTCTGAGGCGCCTCAAAACCGCCTGAACAATGCGCCGTGGGGTGCAGAGTAACCTCATTCTCAAGTGCGGCAGTGCATCATGAGGTGGACTCATAAGCAACCCCCGGCGCTTCATAATACTGTTTCACTCCCATTGTGTGTGCAGAGCTTGTTGAAGGGTCAAAGCAGGACGTGGCGAGGTGTGTGCCGGTGCTTCTTCTTGAGGAGTGGGCGTGGACTCAGAACTATCCCCCGCGCCTAATGATACTGTTCACTCCCATTGTGTCTGCAGAGCTGGTGGAGCGGTCAAAGCGGGACATGGCGAGGAGCGCAGCGGGGCATCTGCTGGAGAGCGGGGTGATAGCGCTGCACACGGGGGACGGCAGGCAGGGGTGGCTGCATGACAGCCCATATGATGCCATTCACGTGGGGTAAGCAGAGGGGGGGTTGAGGACAGTGGGGCGAGGGAGAGGTTGGAGGAAAAGGGTTTCTATACGATAATTATCCTCTGTTAAGTACCTGTGATGTATGGTACAGGGCATGCAAGGGTGGTGCAGGGAATGGGGGGGTTGTGTGATCGGTTTTGCCTGCAGGTGCCAGGGTCTGAAAGGGAATTAGGAAGGGATGTGATTTCTTGGTGAGAGTTGGTGACGAGTTTCGTGGTGCTTCACCTTAGCGCGAGAAGTGTGTGTCTACAACTAGCCTGCCCTCTTTTCGACCATTGCTGCAAGTTACAACTCTCGCCACTCCACTCGCAACCTCACTCTCACTCACCCCAATCCATTCTCTGTCCCCCCCACTCTCATCCAGCTAGCCAATCCCCATGTTTCTGCCTTCCCAGTCCTCTCCCCGTTCACCTGTCCCATTCCCCTTCGTTTCCCCCTTGCCCATTCTCCCTTCCCGCTTCCCCCTTTTCGCCCCCCCCACCCCCCCCTTTCTCCTTTCCCTCTCCCCTTCCCCTTTCCCCCTCTCCCCACAATACCAGAGCGGCAGCGCCAGAGATCCCACTGGCCTTGAAGCAGCAGCTGAAGGAGGGAGGGCGGATGGTTATACCCGTGGGCACGTGGTCACAGGATCTGCTCGTGGTGGATAAGCTGCCAGGTGGCCGCTTCAAAGAGAGCCACGTGGCATCTGTGCGCTACGTGCCACTCACCAGCAAGGACGAGCAGCTGGAGGGGTACTGAGGTGTTCTGAGGGGTGCTGAGGGGGCTGAAGGGTGCTGAGGGGTGCTGAGGGGTTTTGACAACCTGTTGGTGGATACGTTCAGGGGGCTAGGGTGTTTCGTGCCTGTAGGAATTAGAGGGCATGGGGGGTCTGATCTGAGGTGCAAGCAGAAGGGAGGAGGGAGATATGTGTTGTTCTGGTGGATTACACTCTCTTGTGCTTTGTTGTGGCGGGTATGTGGCTGTGTGATGGCGTGTGCAGTCATGTGAGTGCATATACTGTGCTGCTAAGACACATTGGGTGGGGAGGGGAATGGGCAGGAATGGTGATGAGAAGATGTACTGTTAGTGCGACCGTGGATGGATAGTTGAGTAGCAAGGTCTTGGGGATATAACTTGAAATGATGCACTTGTACATAGGGAGTTTTGCAGTATGGTAAATTTGGATGGTGCAAGTTACGGTACCGTACCGAAAGAACATGGTGATACGGAAGGGAAGTGTGAGTTTTGACCAGTGCCCTAGATGTCAGACTTTTTACGCTGATCCGGCGTCCATTCAGACTTTTTGTAGGTACCAGGTCTGAACTGTAAGTTTTTTTTATGTACCTTCTCTGATTCTTCATAGTTTTTTTAATGTAGTGGCTAAAATTTCAGACAAATTGTAGAGGTGTAGGCTAAGCCTCAACCTTGTTTCGGGGGTGCACTCTGAAACGGGTACTACATGTCAAATGTTGTAGCCTGTAGTGAGGTTTGTCTTAGGGGGTACAGAAGTTAGGGTTTGTCATATGTACCCCAACCAACATCAATGCAACATCCATTCCTCATTCTGACATGGTATCAGCTAGGTTAGGATCCTGTGGGATCCCGTTCCTCCGTTCTCCGTTCGTACCTCCCGAGCCTGATCCTACCTCTCGTTCGTACCAGTTTAGTTGTTACCGCGCCTAGTACCGAGCCTAGCGTCATCTCCCCCGTCGCGTCACGCCCGTTCCCCCCCGTCGCGTCGCGCCCGTTCCCCCCGTCGCGTCGCGCCCGTTCCCCCCGTCGCGTCGCGCCCGTTCCCCCCGTCGCGTCGCGCCCGTTCCCCCCCGTCGCGTCACGCCTGTTCCCCCCGTCGCGTCGCGCCCGCCTGTTCCCCCCCCGTCCCGTCGCCCTGTCCCGTCGCGTCGCCCTGCCCTGTCCCGTCGCCCTGTCCCGTCGCGTCGCCCTACCCCGTCGCGTCGCCCTGCCCTGTCCCGTCGCCCTGCTCCGTCGCGCCGCCCTGCCCCGTCGCGTCGCCCTGTCCCGTCGCGTCGCCGTGCCCCGTCGCGTCGCTCCCGCCCTTTCCCCCGTCGCGTCGCCCTCCCTAGGCCCTAGCCCGTCGCCCTCCCTAGGCTCTGGCCCGTCGCCCTACCCTAGGCCCTGGCCCGTTGCCCTACCCTACGTTTTGGCCCGTCGCCCTAGCCCGCTCTTCCGCTGCGACTGAGTCCTCTTCCCCCCCGGTTGTTACTCGCCTGTTCGTTCGCGTTGGTTCTCACTATGGCGACTCCGCGAGTTCTTCGTTTCGACGCTGACGGTAGACCCCTTGACTTTTCCGTCTGGCTTCTTCGCGCTCGTCGTCTGTTAGAGAGTCAGGTCCAGGGGGGCGAGACCCTCTGGTCACACGCTACTGGTGACCTCCCCGAGCCCCCCGAGCCTACCGCTTTAGGCCCTGCTCCTGACGACGCTGCTACGGCTCGCTTTGCCCGTCAGCGCGTTGACCGGACGGCTTGGACGTCGCGTGACGCTGCGGCCTGCATCGCACTCAGCAGCCTCCTCCCTGAGTCCGAGGAGGTCCACTTTACTCAGGTTCGCACCGCTGCTGCGTACCTCACTGCGATTAAGGCCCGCTACTCTACTCCCGCTACTGTCTCTCTCGGCCGTCTTTTCCTCCCGTTCCTGTTTCCTGATCTTGCCTCGTTTGAGCGCTCTGCTGACTTGATCGCTCACCTCCGCTCGCTCGACGCTAGTTACCGCGCTGCTTGCACTGAGGCACAGCTTGCACTGCTTCCTCCCCCCATGGCGATTACTGTCTATTTCATCGCCACTAGCCTCCCTGACCGCCTTGCCTCCATTCGTGACGCGCTTCTGCTGAAGCACCCTAGTGAGCTGACTATCGAGGTCCTTGAGTCTGCACTCAAGGACGTCGAGAGCAACCTTCGTTCGGTAGCTGCCGCCTCTGGTACTGTGTCCCCCCCACTCTTCCACGGGTGCACAGTCCCGCAGTTACCCACCTTCACTGCCTCTCTTGCCACTGCCGCTACTGACGCGACTGCGGCTGCTGTTACGACTGCGTCGCGGTCCCGCGGCAGGGGGGGCAAGAAAGGTGGTTCCGGTGGAGGTGGAGGCGGAGGTAGCGGAGGTAGTGGGGGTGCTGTTGCGACTGGCGGTGGTGGGAGTGCAGCGTCTGGAGAGACCCCTCGTGCAGCGGCTGGTGACTCCACTGCACCTGCTGGTGGCGGCGACCCTCGAGCTCGTCAGTCGCCTCCTGTACTGCCGGCCCCGCTAGGTGGAGCAGCGGCGTGGTACCAGGCTCAGCGTCAGCAGCACCTTCAGCAGCAGCAGCAGCCCCTTTCCTCCCAGCAGCCTCAGCAGCAGCAGCTGGCTCCGGGGTCGGGGCTGCGTCAGCCCCAGCGCGGTGCTGCTTACCCTCCCTGCCCCTACCAGGTTCAGACAGGTCCTCGTCGGGGCCACCCTTGTGGCCGCTTTCACCCCCCTGGTCAGTGCTTTGCTCAGCTCACTGACACGGTCCGGTTGACCTACGGGGTTGGCGGTCCTGCTCCTGACTGGCTTCCTCTGGTTCAGCGCTACGGCTCCGCTCTGTGGGGCATGTCTGCTGAGCAGTTAGTTGATCTGATTAGTGCTCCTCATGCTATGTATGCTGTTGTTGACTCTAGTGTTTCTGACTCTGTTTACTCTGGTGTTGTTAGCTTAGGTGCTAGTCTTGCTCAGTTGCCTGTTGCTAGTGTAGGTACTTGTGTAGACTCTAGACCAGCGACTACCTCAGAGGACGCTTCGCTGTCGTTCACACTGGACTCTGGAGCCTCCCACTGCTTCTTTCGGGACAGCACGACACTTACACCACTTCCTGCGCCTGTTTCTGTAGCGTTGGCTGATCCCACTACAGGACCAGTCACTGCACGTCACACTACCACTTTACCGTGTCCTGCTGCTCCCTCCGGGTCTCTCACTGGGTTTCACGTCCCCTCGTTCTCCCGGAACTTGGTGGGCGTGCGACCCCTCGTGAGTCAGCACGTGGGTGTGTGGTTTGAGCCTTCTGGAGAGACTGCGGTGTGTGTTGACGGAGACTCTTACCAGCCTCTTGCTACCTTTACTGCTGAGCCGGGCTCGGGTCTCTACACTCTTCACACTGGCCCGCGTGCGCCGCAGCAGCAGCCGCAGCAGCAGCAGCAGCCGCAGCCGCAGCAGCAGCAGCAGCAGCAGCAGCAGCAGCAGCAGCAGCAGCAGCAGCAGCACCAGCGGCCGCACCAGCAGCCCCCCCTACTGCCACTGCCCCCGGTTCCCCCCCCCGTTCGGGTCCCCGCGTCTCACCAGGTTGCTACGTCCCCCCAGGTGTCTGTGTCGTGTCAGGTTCCTACGTCTGTTCCAGTCGCTGCGTCGTGCTCCTGCCGGTCACTTGCCCACCCCACCGTTCTGTGGCACCACCGGATGGGGCACCCGTCCCTTCCACGTCTGCGCGCTATGTCTAGTCAGCGTCTTGTCCTAGGCCTCCCACGTGTCTTGCCGTCGCTGCCGCCTTCGCCTGCGCCGCCGTGTCGTCCCTGCGTCGAGGGTAGGCTGCGCGCCACCCCTCACTCCTCCTCCCTTCGTCCGGCCACCGAGCCTTTTGAGACGCTTCACTTGGACGTCTGGGGCCCAGCCCCTCGTCTAGGCCCTGAGCGTGAGCGTTACTTTCTGGTGGTCGTTGACGACTTCTCCCGCTACACCACAGTGTTCCCTCTGGCGAAGAAGTCTGAGGTGACTTCTACGCTGATCAGGTGGTTGCTCACCACTGAGGACACTCGTGGTCGTCGTGTCAGCTGTCTCCACTCCGACCGTGGGGGTGAGTTTCGCTCCGGCATTCTCGCTGGATTCTGTCGCGAGCAGGGCATTCGTCAGTCCTGGACGCTTCCAGAGTCCCCACAGCAGAATGGGGTTGCTGAGCGCCGCATAGGCCTGGTCATGGAGATCGCCCGCACCTCCCTGACTCACGCCTGTGCCCCCCATTTTCTGTGGCCCTACGCGGTCAGGTACGCCGCGCACCAGCTGAACCTCTGGCCACGTGTCTCTCGACCAGAGGTTTCACCGACCAGTCTTTGGACAGGGTCCCCTGGTGTTGCGTCGCGGTTTCGTGTCTGGGGGTGCTTGGCTCTTGTCCGCGACACCTCCGCGGACAAGCTCTCGCCTCGTGCCGTCCCCTGTGTCTTCCTTGGTTTCCCTGAGGACTCCTCTGACTTCACCTTTTACCACCCTCCCTCTCACCGGTTCTTTGACTCCCGTGACGTCCGTTTCGAGGAGTCCACTCCGTACTACGTCAGGTACCCCAGTCGAGGTCTCCCGGTTCCTCCTCCCCCCCTCTTCCTGACTGCCGTTCCCCCTCCTGCTCCCCCGGTACAGCCTCCCCCCCCTGGTCCAGCCCCGTCAGGTGTGTCCCAGGCTACCCCTCCTCCTTCGGTAGCCCCTCCGGTACAGCCTCCCTCCCCACAGTCCTCCTCGCAGCGTGCCGCTGGTGCTAGCTCTCGAGAGGTTGGTGCGGCGCCTGTTCCTGTACCGGTTTCTGGTTCTGGGGGTGCTGGAGTTGGAGCTGGAGTTGGAGCTGGAGTTGGCACTGGAGTTTCTGGTTCTGGGGGTGCTGGAGTTGGAGCTGGGGTTGGAGCTGGAGTTTCTGGTTCTGGAGTTGGAGCTGACCCGGTGGGTGCAGAGGACTCTTGTCGTCCGAGAGCTGGTGCTGGCCGCGCGGACACTGGGGGTGCTGCGTCTGGGGGTGAGGGTGCGCCTCCTTCGGGTTCAGGTGAGCCTGGGTCTGGAGCTGGTGTTAGTGATGCCTCTGGGGGTGGTGCGCCTAGTTCTTCTGAGGTGGACTCTGGAGCTGCCGCTGCTTCGGACACTACTCCACCCCCCCACCCCTACCCGACTAGGCGCCAGGCTCGTGTTCGCCGTGCCCGTGACGAGCAGCTGGCGTTGGAGAGAGAGGAGAGGGAGTTACAGCGGCTGGAGGAGCAGCAGCAGCAGGTGGAGCCGCAGGAGCAGCAGCAGCAGCAGCAGCAGCTGGACCCGCAGGAGCAGCAGTCCCAGCAGCAGCCGCGTCCGCAGCAGCAGCAGTCGCAGCCGCAGCAGCAGCAGCCACTTCCTCCTCCTGTCTCGGGTCTTCGGATCCTTGGTCTCCCCTCCCCTTCTCCTCCCTCCTCCGCCTCTCCTCCTGTCTACGGTCCCACGTTTCCTCCTCCTGACTCCTCCCCCGCTGTTTTCCCCAGTTCTCCGCCTTTGTCCTCTCCTCCTCAGTCTCGTTCTTGGGCTACTCGTCGCTCCCCTCGTGCTCGTCCCTCGTCTCCTGTTCCCTTCACTGACCTTCGTACTGCCTTCCTTCTTTCTAGTCCACCTCGTCCGTCTCAGTCTGTGCTTCCGTCTCCTCCTGAGTCGGCCCTCACTGTGTCGCTCCCTACTCCTGTCACTGACTACTACCGCACGTACCGTCCTGTTCTCTCTCGTGTTCTCGCCTCTCTTGTTACTCACCCTCGTGCCTCTGTGTCCTCTGTGTCCGCTCTTACTGCCGCAGTTACTGACTTTGCCTCTACCCGCCGCCTTGACTACGCCACCACGCTTGTGGCTGCTCCTCCTACCAGTCCTCTGGCCGTCGGGGGTGTGTCTGCCCTTGGCCGTGACGCCCTAGAGGACAGGCAATTTGAGCTAGAGTTCCTGGCGGCCGCTTCCCCTCATCTCTGTGCCATGCTCCTCGCCCCTGAGGGTGACCCCGACGCCCTTGACATTCCGACTCCTCGCACTTACGCTGAGGCAGTGTCAGGGCCTTGGGCCTCTCAGTGGAGAGCTGCCATGGACGCAGAGATGGCCTCCTACAGATCCACAGGCACCTACGTCGAGGAGATTCCCCCCCCTGGGGCGAACGTAGTCGACGGCATGTGGATCTACAGGGTGAAGCGGCCACCGGGATCTCCCCCGGTCTTCAAGGCGCGCTACGTGGCTAGAGGTTTCAGTCAGCGCGAGGGAGTTGACTTCTTTCAGACCTTCGCACCTACCCCGAAGATGACCACTCTTCGGGTGTTACTACACGTAGCAGCACAGAGAGACTACGAGTTACACTCTCTTGACTTCTCCACTGCTTTCCTTCAGGGCAGTCTACATGAGGAGGTCTGGTTGCGTCGTCCCTCGGCCTTCACTGGCACTTTCCCTCCTGGGACCCAGTGGAGGCTGAGGCGACCTGTTTACGGTCTTCGCCAGGCCCCTCGTGAGTGGCACGACACTCTGCGTTCTACCCTCTCTGACCTTGGGTTCCAGCCGTCTTCTGCCGACCCGTCGCTGTTCGTTCGTCGTGGCTCCACACCGTTCTTTGTTCTGGTCTACGTCGACGACCTCGTTTTCGCCACTTCGGACAGGGTTGCTTTGGCAGACGTGAAGTCCGAACTGCAGAAGAGACACACGTGCACTGATCTTGGTGAGCTGCGCCACTACCTTGGCCTGCAGATCACCAGGGACAGAGCCGCTCGCACCATTACACTCTCACAGTCACACATGGTGCAGCAGGTCCTTCAGCGGTTCGGGCTTCAGCACTCCACCGTACAGCGCACACCTCTAGCTGTTGACCACAGACTCACTGGTCCCTTTCCTGACGAGCCGTTTGAGCCTAGTGGTCCCTACGCAGAGCTTGTGGGTTGCCTCATGTACCTGATGACTTGTACTCGCCCGGACCTCGCCTTCCCTCTCAGCATCCTTGCGCGCTTTGTTGCGCCAGGGAGACACCGTCCTATTCACTGGACGGCAGCTGTGAGGGTGGCGAAGTATCTAGCGACTACATCAGGCGTGGGGCTAGTTCTTGGAGGGCAGCAGTCTGTCGTACTCACTGGTCACTGTGACTCCTCTTACGCTGACGACGCTGAGACTCACAGGTCTACTCAGGGGTACTGTTTCAGTCTGGGTTCTGGAGCTGTTTCCTGGCGTTCCACGCGCTCCTCTTCTGTCTCGACCTCTACAGCTGAGGCTGAGATTTACGCTGGTGCCATGGCGGCACAGGAGTTGCGGTGGTTGACCTTCTTGCTCGCCGACCTTGGTGAGCGGCCGAGCTCTGCACCGACCTTGTTTACTGACAACAAGGCGTCGATCCTCCTCTGTCGTGAGCCGCGACTGGAGAGTAGAGTGAAGCACATTCACGTCAGGTACTTACTTCTGCGAGAGTTGCAGAGGCGTGGACAGGCTCGCTTCGAGTTTGTAGAGTCCGAGGCCAACACTGCAGACATCTTCACCAAGGCGCTTCCGCCTTGTGACCACCAGAGGTGTTGTGTGCAGTTAGGCCTTGTTGACACAGGTTCTAGTCATGCGTAGACTTGAGTTTATTGCCTGCTTCGTCTGTACACTTACTATATATACTTGTGATCTCTTGGACTGGCCTTGTGGCCACTGTTGCTTGTGCTCAGAGTGTGTGGTGACGTTGTGATCCAGCCTGAGCTTTGTTTTCTTTTGGACTGGTCTTGTGACCGTACTTTTTTTTTGTTTTTGCTAGACACCCCTCACTTAGGCTATGGGGGTGTGTCAAATGTTGTAGCCTGTAGTGAGGTTTGTCTTAGGGGGTACAGAAGTTAGGGTTTGTCATATGTACCCCAACCAACATCAATGCAACATCCATTCCTCATTCTGACACTACAAGGGTCCGCCAGCGTGGCGGCGTGTTTGCACTAACACCGTCAATCACGGGCGGGAAACGAAACTTTTTGTGGAGCGGGAATGCTGTAATCTGGCTCAATTCTAGCCAATCGCGGCAGCGCAGCAGGCAGTGCTGGCAAGATTCCTTGCCAACGCATAGCTCGCAGCGGCAGCAGTAGTGTAACATGTGACAGAATCTGACTCAGAGGGAGGAGGCCGGGAGGAGGCTGCAAGGAGCCAGTAGTTCAGCCGGCAGATGTAGAGCCACGTGTGACAGAATCTGACTCAGATAGATGAAATGTTATCAAGCGCAGTAAAGAAAACCGGCAGCCTTCAAACTTAGTGTAACTCTGAACTTTCAGCCCACGTAACTCAGAATCGCATGCAACTCTGACTGACAGAGTTTAGATGAGGGTGCACTCTGACCCATCAGCGTGTCCTAAAACGAATCTAGGGCCCTGGTTTTGACCACGTTTTGTCCACACAAACCTCTTCTGCAAGATATTGGCAACTTTTTACGCTGAGTACAGATATAGGTGGCTGTTTCCAGGCGTCGACATGACTTGCTCCTAATGCGGATCCATTTCTGATCCCGGTGCAACCTATGGTAATTGAACATTTTTTTTTTTTTTAGTCAATAACTGCCAATCATACTGGATGACAATCAGCCCGAACCGTATGACATTCCCATCCCACCACACCACGATACCGTACCATTCAGGCCAACAGCTATCAGTACATACCTTAAACCAAAAACCTCTGGCTAAAATTCAATACCAAACCAGGGAGTAATGACAGCGGACCATAAATGTAGAGGAGAGCGTGCAAGACACATTGGCACCTCTGGTCGCATGAGGCAATGTTCACTTCGTTCTGAGGCCTCTGAGGGCAGGGTAAGGGTGCGGCTCTGAGTGTTGAGAGGAATGAGAGGGGAAGGTAGAACATGTGTGGGACATGTCCATGTCAGAATATGAGAAGGATGCAGTGTTGCAGGAAGGCAGGAGCGATAGAGCAACAGATGGGTGGATGGGTTAAGGGGTGTGTGTGTGAGGGGAGAGCGCGGATGAGGGATGAGGAGGGGGAAGGGAGTCATGGAGGGGAGGGAAATTTGAGGAGGAGTGATGTGAAGGAAACTGATAAGGGACGGAGGAGAGAGGGAGGGAAGGAGGGAGGGAGGGAGGGAGGGAGGGAGGGAGGGAGGGAGGGAGAGAGAGAGAGAGAGAGAGAGAGAGAGAGAGAGAGAGAGAGAGAGAGAGAGAGAGAGAGAGAGAGAGAGAGAAGAATGGGGGAGGGAGGGGGTATGAAGAATGGAGGGGGGGTGGGCTGGCGGAGTGGAAGGCTGAGGGGTGGGGAGTTCAGGCCAGAGCGGAAAAGGCAGGGGGGAATCGAGAAACAGTGGGTTGAACAGCGCCCAAGGGAGCTGCTGCAGCGCGCAACTCCCTGTCGCAATGTGTCTGTCTGTTACCTGTTTACAACGACTACCATCCTAGTAACTGGCCCTGGTAACCAGTCAGCACACGCGCCGGTCCTGTACAGGAGGTTTGGACCCGAACCTGAGACCAGTGCTTCCGTAACGAACGGGCTTAGGTTTATTTCCTTGAGGTGAGACATGTGCATGTTGCTTCATTTATGCTCGTGTTTACTGCAATGTGTGGTGATAACACAATGCGGTGAATCACTTGACGCGCGCGAGAGGAGGAAGGGAGAGGAGGAGAGGGGTTGAGGGGGGAGATGGGGAAAGGGAGAAAGGGGGGAGATGGAGGGGGTGGACGAGGTATGGTCGTGGAGGGGACGGGAACGTATTACGGATCACTGTCAACAACACAATTTGAATATAAAGAGAAAATGTTACAGCAGCGAAATAATGTGCGAATTGAGAAGCCGAGAGGAGTGATTTCACACGGGACAGACACTTGCCAGGTATGCCGCCACGTGTCGCCCACTCCTCTCCCCTCCCCTCCCACCCCCTCCATTCCAGCCCCTCACTTATCGGACTGCGACGAGAACACGTCCTTAACAGCCGACGCGGCGGTGAGATAATTAAGCGTGCTTCTTAGCGTCTCCTTCTCGCGCTGGAGCCGCTCCGCCGTGTCTTCTAATTCCAGCAGCGCTTGCTGCTCCGCCGGCGCGCCTTCAAACGTTGACGCGACCCAGAAGGAGAAAGGCGTGGGGAAGGACGATTTCCGCAGATCCGGAACTTCCTCGTCGCTTCCGCGCATCTTATTCGACATCCGGATGACGTCATGCATGATGCTCGCGACCTCGTTCGCGAGCGAGTCGATGTCGACCGGCTGTTCTGACGGCTTGTCCTCCAGCCACCGCACGCGGCCAACCAGGTACGGCCGGCTGCGGACGATATCCACCACGCGAAACCGCTCTTCACCGCGACAGATTAGAAAGTAGCGGTTGTCGGGAAATCTTTCGTGCCGGATCACCTGACCAACGCAACCGACGGCGGCGGCCGTGGCAGCGTCTTTACCGGTGTAGATAATACCGAAGCGCATGTCGGTTTGCAACAGCGTTTGCATCATGATGCGATAGCGGAACTCGAAGATTTGGAGCGGGAGCGCGGTTCCGGGAAAGAGCACCAGCGGCAACGGGAAAAGCGGTAGCTCCACAAGATCATCGTCACGAGAGTTGAACCTCCCGCCGCTGCTGCTGCTGCCGCCTTCTCCGCGAAACACGCTCGTTCGGAAATCGGGCCCCGCGCGGGACGCATACGACCCGTCCGGAATTGATCGGGCGGAACGACTCGCGGCGACGCTTGAGGCGTCACGAATCCAGGAAGCGCCAGAGGCGGGCGCGGCGTGGGTTGGTAGCGCTCTGCCGGGAACTTGCGATGACGACGCGGGGAAAGTTGCGGGAAGTGCTTGCGCGCGCGCGGATCTGTTGGCTCTGTTGCGGAGGGGCAGCCGTTCGGATGCTTGTCGTCCGGCGACAACGCGCTCCGAGGAGTCAGGGAATCTTAGGGAAAGCTTAGGGGAAAATGACGAGGGATGGGAGGAAAGCACGAAACTGCCTCCTCCCAGAGAAAGGTCTAAAAGCATCTTGCAACCCTGTGCACAAGGCAGGGAGGGGTATTTACTCCGAGGGAGAGCGCGTCCGACCCGAAGGAGTAAATTTGGTAAGTAACTGGTGCTGCGAATAGCCAGAACCCGCCTTTCCGTCAATTGCGACTGTTACGTGAAATTCGGTTAGGAAGAAAGAATTAGAGAACAATGGTGACAGTAGTCAGTCCGGAAGGCAATTGATGAGCAATAGAAGGGCATGTGAGTGGAAGGTTGAGGAAAGCGGGGTGCGCTGCGGTGAGTGCGATGGTGGCTGTGCGATAAGTGGCGACAAGATTGTTGAGAGTGTGCGATACCGAAAGGCGCGCAATACGGGGTGGGGGGAGGGCGAAGGGAAGGGGGAGAAAGTGAGGGGGTGAGCGTGGCTGAACGAGGAGGGCGGGGGCTGGATGGGGGGATGTGGCGGGGGTCAGAGTGGGCAAGGCATCAAAATTTGGCACATGCATGCTCGAGGAGTTGCTTGTCATAGGGGCCGCGTTGCGTACAGCTTGGATAATCTACCGAATGTGAAAGAGCCACGTGGAGGCGGTCGGGCAGAAACGTCTTGCAAGAATCGCCAAGAGAGAGTTCAATCAGTGCCCGTTGAACACTCCCAAAAAATGTGGATCCCATCCTATACCCATTCTGTCAAGCTCGTATGTAATGGCACGTCGTGGCAGTTAGTGAGTGAGGATAGTCCACGCAAGCAGGATACCACGTGGACACACTCGAGCTTTGAAGACAGAGATCCACCTTGCCAACAAGGGAAAGTATATCCCAGCTCCATAGTTTCAAAAATCTCTCAAATTTAGTCCTAAGTTCACTCAAAAAGTACAGCTCTCTAGAAGTTTGCTCACGCGAGGACCAGATTATGTTCAAAACTGGTCCTGCGGGGCAATTTTTGGGTTGCGTAGCAACCTTATACATTCGTTTTCACTTTTTGGTTGGCTGATGTGAACTGTGAATTTCTCTTATAAATTTTGAAAGAAATCACTGTTCACATAGCTTCCCCAAAAATGTGAAAACAAATGTTTCCAATCATTCCATACTCGTCTATAAGTACGGCGAATGGAACAATTGGAGAATTGTTCTAGCACTAAAGATGATATGGTACCGAATGACACACGAACACAAAGGACAACACAAAAAATACTACAGTACCACCAAGAAACACACATACACAAATGACCACAAAAACGATGGTGTACAAGAACCGTCGTACATGTTTTGAAGGGGATAGTAAATGCATCAATGCAACAACTGAGACTGATATGGTACGGAAGAGGCGAGCAAAGCTGCCCCACCGACGATCACAATCCCAGTTGCATACACGATACACTTAGCACCACACCCCCGAAACAAGCACAGACGATAACACATAAATGATTATGAAAACAGAAGACAACGTTTAAGAATGTTTCAAAGCGGATGCTAAATGCATCAGTGCTGCAACTGAGATTGATATGGTACGGAAGAGGCTAGCAAAGCTGCCCCACCGACGATCACAATCCGAGTTGCATTCACGAGGCACTTAGCACCACACCCTGATGTCAGAACTTATAGCTTACTTGTTTCTGTAGGCTATAGTGGGGTATCCCATAGGGGGTACAACCCAATTAGGGTTTCCTATTTGTACTCACTTCGTTCATAGTCATCTCATCCTCGTTCTTTGTTTTCACATGGTATCAGAGCAGGTTCCCTCCTAGGGACTGATTCTAGGGCCCACCGAACCGCGCCCCGAGGCGCGTTTTCTTTTAGCGACCCGTCGTGTCGCCCCTAGCGGACCGTTGCGCCGCCCTTCCCTAGCGGCCCCGCCGCCCTTCGATCGCGGCCCCGCCGCCCTCTGCTACGCGGCCCCGCCGCCCTCGGCTACGCGGCCCCGCCGCCCTCTGCCTCGCGGCCCCGCCGCCCTCTGCTACGCGGCCCCGCCACCCTCTGCTACGCGGCCCCGCCGCCCCCTGCTACGCGGCCCCGCCGCCCTTCGATCGCGGCCCCGCCGCCCTTTGCCACGCGGCCCCGCCGCCCTCTGCTACGCGGCCTCGCCGCCCTCTGCTACGCGGCCCCGCCGCCCTTCGATCGCGGCCCCGCCGCTCTCTGCTACGCGGCCCCGCCGCCCTCTGCTACGCGGCCCCGCCGCCCCCTGCTACGCGGCCCCGCCGCTCTACTCGTTCGCGGCCCAACCGCCACTCTGCTACGCGGCCCCGCCGATCCGCCCAGCAGCAGCCGCCGCCGCCTGAGCCGCCGCCGAGCCGCCGCCGAGCCGCCGCCGAGCCGCCGCCGAGCCGCCGCCGAGCCGCCGCCGAGCCGCCGCCCGAGCCGCCGCCGAGCCGCCCGTGCCGCCCGAGCCGCCGCCGAGCCGCCCGTGACGCCCGAGCCGCCCGCGCCGCCCAGCAGCAGCCGAGCCGCCGCCGAGCCGCCGCCGCCTGAGCCGCCGCCGAGCCGCCGCCGAGCCGCCGCCGAGCCGCCGCCGAGCCGCCGCCCGAGCCGCCGCCGAGCCGCCCGTGCCGCCCGAGCCGCCCGCGCCGCCCGAGCCGTGCTGCTGTTCCTCTGCTGCTGACCTACCCGCCTCTCCCAGCCCGGTGAGATTTTCAGCTGCTGTCATGGCCACACCCAATGTTCTTACCTTTGACGCTGAGGGGAGGGCCATTGACTTTGCCGTCTGGATTGAAGACCTGCAGCTGTACTTACTGTGTGATGCGATAGATGAGGTCTCTCTCTTTGACTTTATCTCTGGCGCTGTCCCTGCCCCACCTGCTGATGCTGACTCTGCCGTTCGCTCCAAGTGGGCGACCCGCGATGCTGCTGCACGTCTTGCTGTGCGTCGCCACCTCCCTTCCTCTGAGCGTGCCCACTTTAGTCAGTGCAAGACCGCTCAGGCCTTGTACGACGCTGTAGTTGCACGCTACTCCTCCCCTTCCTCCGCTACCCTTAGCCGCCTCATGCTACCGTTTCTCTTCCCTGACCTCGCTTCCTTTCCCACTGTCACTGACCTCGTTACCCACCTCCGTGCTAGTGACACCCGCTACCGCGCTGCCCTTCCTGCTGAGTTCCGCGCTGCGAACCCTCCTCCCATGTACATCACTCTCTACTTTCTCGTCACCCGTCTCCCTGAGTCCCTTCGTGTCGTTAGGGACCAGTTTCTCTCTGTCTGTCCCACCACTCTCACTGTCGACCTCCTTGAGGAGTCCCTGCTAGCGGCTGAGAAGAGTATTGTCGCTGTAGGGGCCTCTCGGGGTGACCCTCGCACCCCCATCTTTGAGGGGTGTGGTCCTTCCCCCCTGCTGCCCTCTGTCGCCTCTGCCGCTGCGGCCGACCTCACTGGTTTTGAGTCGGTCGGCGCGGCGTCTGCCCCCAGCGGCAGACGCCGCGCTGGCAAGGGCAAAGGGGGCAAGGGAGCGGGTGGAGCTAGAGGGGGCGGTGGAGGAGGCGGTGGGGGTGACGGGGGGAGTGGGGGTGACGGTGGGGGTGGTGGCGGGAGTGGAGGTACTGGTGGCGGCGGTGGAGGCGGAGGTGGCGGCGGAGGTGGTAGCGGAGGAGGCGGTGGGAGCGGTGGGAGCGACGGTCCTGGTGGGGGAGGTGGAGGTGGAGACGGGGGTGGCGGTGGAGGCGGGGGTGGCAGTGGAGGCGGGGGTCGGAGTGGCTCGTCCCAGCGGAGCAGCTCCGGGGGTGGTCAGCGCCAGCAGCAGCAGCAGCAGCAGCCGCAGCAGCAGCCACAGCAGCAGCAGCGCTCTCGCACCGTCCTCGCCCCTCAGCAGCTCCGTGAGTGGTACTCGCAGCGTCAGCGTGGTGGTGCGCTTGGTCCTTGCCCCTACGTTCTCCGCACCGGTGACCGTGCAGGGGAGAGGTGTGGAGGCGCCCACACTGCCCGCCGCTGCTTTGGCCGCCTAACTGACGCCTGGCGTCAGCAGTTTCCGGAGGCAGCTGAGATCCCCCGCTGGGGAGAGCTGTCTAGGGCTGGTGTAGCTATTTATGATCTTGACTTTGATGCTATTCTCTCTGCTATGTATGCTGCGATTGGTAGTGATGAGGATGACTGTTACCGGTGTTTCCCGCCCGACCCGGGCATTGGTACTGCCACGTCAGGTACTAGTGAGGCTGCTGCTCTAGGTGCCAGTGCGTCTGTGCTCTCAGGTGCTGGTGAGTCTGCCCTCTCAGGTACTGTGTCGGCTTCGACCTCTCACACCTTCACCCTTGACTCTGGAGCGTCTCGCTCCTTCTTTCGGGACCGCACCACTCTCACGCCGCTGAGTCGGCCGGTTGCGGTGTCCCTGGCTGACCCCTCTGGGGGGCCTGTCCTGTCTCGCTTCTCCACTGTCCTCCCGTGTCCGGCGGCCCCCTCTGGCACCCTGACTGGTCTTTACCTCCCCTCGTTCTCGACGAACTTGGTGAGTGGTGCTGACCTCCAGGATGCGGGTGTCCACCAGTTCACCCCTGCTCGTCAGCGGGTGACCCACTGCACGGAGGCGGATACAGGTCGCCACCTGGCTACGTTTACACGTCGGCCAGGGTCGAGCCTGTACACTCTGACCACTGCTTCTCCTCCAGGTGCTGAGTCTGGTAGGGTCACTTCGTCTGGTCAGGTGTTTGCTGCAGCGTCCAGGTCTGGTCCTGAGTCTGCCCCCTGCTCGTGCCGTCGTCTGTCTCACGAGACCCTCCTCTGGCACCACCGCCTTGGCCACCCCTCTCTGCTTCGGCTCAGAGGCATGGCCTCGCGAGTCCTTGTGTCTGGTCTTCCCCGGTCTCTCCCTCCCCTTCCTCCGGGCCCTGGCCCCACCTGTGTCCCCTGTGTCGAGGGGCGCCAGCGTGCTGCCCCTCACTCCTCCCAGTTTCCTCCGACAGAGGCCCCGTTGCAGACGCTTCACATGGATGTGTGGGGCCCAGCCCGCGTCCGTGGACAGGGTCAGGAGCGCTACTTCCTGCTGGTGGTTGACGACTACTCGCGTTACACCACAGTCTTCCCCTTGCGCAGCAAGGGTGAGGTCACTGCGGTGTTGATCGAC